TGGCGGTCGGTGTAGGGAATTAGGATGATTGTCCTTGATATCCTCTTCTCAACTCTCCTTCATGTTTCGGACTCAGGTCAGCTACAGTCGCACCCAAAGACCTGGAATGTTCCACTATGTTCACATTATACTAACTCCTAATGTCTAATACAGAACAGTCCACCGCGCGAGCCGTCATCCTTGGGCCGACGCTTTCCGCATATATCTTCCCAGCGCCATCATGGGAAAGTAGTGGGCGTAATACACGTATCCCAGATAGAAATGATTCGGAAATCCGGTTCCTGTGTACAATTTATCCGTCCACGTTCCAGCGTGCATTTTATCCGTCCCTGTTCCCGTGGGCATTTTCTCCGTCCACTCTCCCGTCTTCCGACACACAATTTCCATAGACCCGACGAGGTACCTGACGCCTCGCGCAATTATCTCATCTGTGTGTGGCAAATATGCCAGCAGCGCCATCAGCGCCCACGCAGTCTGCGCAGCAGTGGACTTGTGGCCCTTGATCGTCATACTTGGGTCTTTATACGTCAGCAACGATTCGCCCCATCCACCATCAACATTCTGAATAGATTTTAACCACTCTTTCGAAAGATCTACCATCCCCTGAACGCGTTTGTCCTCGTCGATAAAGTAGGCCAGACCACACAGCGCGTGGGAAGTGCCGTAAATATAGTTGCACCCCCATCGACCAAACCAGGTTCCATTAGACTCTTGGGTGGAGGCGAGGTAGCCGATCGCACGATGGCAAGCCAGACGAAGCTGAGGGTAGAGGTGCACGACTGGGTTGCTCTTATCGGAAGTTCGCATCAACAACCCAAATGCTTCAAGGATGCGGCCCGTGATGTCGGCGCAAGAGGTATCGCACAGGCTGTCCATATCACTAAAAGGAATCTTGTTGAGGAAGAGCTTATCGTTCTCAACATCAAAGGCAGCCCATCCTCCATCAGGGTTCTGCATCCCCAATATCCATTTGGTGGCTTGCACCACGGAGAAAGAGGATACCGACGTCGGGTCCTGTTTGATCTGTGCGAGAATGATGGCTGCAGTGTCGTCTACATCGGGGTACCACGTGTTGTTGTATTCAAAACTAAAGCCCCCGGGCGCGAGGTTGGGACGGTAGACGCGCCAGTCTCCACGCAGATCAAAGATTTGACGACGTCGAATCCAATTGACCGCTCGATCGAGATGTCCCTTGTCTGTGGACATGGCGTCGCATAATCCGACGGTCATAAGCGCTGTGTCCCAGACTGGAGACACGCAGGCCTGGATCCTTTTGCCTTGCTCATCCTGCCAGGCGAAACGTTCCAGAGCTTCGAAACCGAGGCGCACCGGTTCGTCATCCAAGCGGTATCCTTCGAGCAGCAAAGCATACATACTCGCGTGCATCGGAGGAAAGATTCCACCCCAATCGCCGGAGACTTCTTGGCGGTCGAGGATCCATTCAACACATTTGCGGCGCGCATAAGTGCGCATGAATGGCACCGATCGCAACCCCCCGAGCTGATACAAGAACTTATCGACAACGGTGAATGCTAGACCGGCCATGTCAAAATCCGCCGCCAAGGTCCAAAGTGACTTGCCATAGGGCACGTTTTTATTCGTGCTGTCCTTCCATAGTTCGTCGAGGTAGTCATTTTTCGCTGACCGCCCGTTTGGCAACGGATACACCGGCTGGTGATGGCAAATAAGCAACAATGGGGCGATCGTCCCTCGTGCCCAGGATGCCAATCTGAAGATATTGATGGGCAACGAAGAGGGCAGGAGGATGAGCTCTACCGGGATTTGCGGTACTGCGGTCCACGGAAACAACCCAAAGGTGGCCAAGAAAATGCGTGTGAACACCCGGACAGCAGCCACTCCCCCGGACTGAAGCACAAACGTCCTCGCTCGTTGCATGGGCGCAGAGTTAACATCTTCTCCTAATATCTTCAAGGCTAGGTATGCCTCTGTTGTGGTCGAGACATCGCCGGGAATCTCTGGAGCTAGACCCCACGAGCCATCCGGATTTTGCTCGGACAGAAGCCAGCGGGTGTATGCAGGTCCATCGACCGTCAGATCCAGGCCTAAAGCGTATCGGAGAAAGACATATTCGGAGGTGATGGTTGCGTTGGATTTGAGCTCACCGCACCAGTGACCGTCTGAATGCCCCGTTTGCCGAGAAAACTCGATCGCTTTATCGAGTGTGTCCTTGACGAGTGAAGCAAGTTCCCCTGTCTTGGACATGGTATATGTCTGTGTGTTCTTTGTCGATCACGATCGCTTTTTTTTTGATTTTTTTGGAGAGTGAAATCTGCACACAATCAAAGACGGGAAGTGCAAAGATGCTCCAATGTTCTCCTTGCAAGGTATCTTCTTCGAATATGTACATGAGCACTTGGTTGACCAACTCGAAGTCAAGAAAAGCCTGACTCTGGAAGAACAAATAAACTCATGCTACTCAGCGATCTGCAACAGATATGAGCCCTCAAAGAATTGGACGGACTTTGATGCCACGAACAATAATCTTCAGAGGAATGGTTAGTGTGAAATGGTGTTGCAAAAATGGCCGGTCTCCTAGCGCTTCTTTTGTGCATAGCTAGTGTGGGATTGGCGGGCAGTGGTGTGATGGGTCGGAGAAGACGCATCGCATCTGACCTCTAACCTGCATAAAAGGTGCGTTAAGTGAAACTACATCATTACAGACACTGTCCTTGGTCTCTTTGCTTCTGTGATTCTTGTTGCAGCTGAGGCTAGTGGGCTTCTGTTAATGTTGAACATCTCACGAGCTACATTTTCCCAAATTGACATGGACCCCAAGATAACTGCAATTTTTGGTGTGTCGCTACATTGCTCTCGCGGAGTGCAGACACGATAAGGACTTTTACTTGCAGGTCTCAGTGCTGGCCTCTTACGAGCGCTTCTACACGCCTCGCAGACGGCGGAACCATTCTCAGATAACAGCCGGTTGAATTGCCTAGCTAGCATTGAGTCCAAGGATTATGAGTCAGGCAACTATGACCATTGGAATGCCGCCAGAACTTCTCCGACTGGGTGTCATAGCTTTTGCTACACTCATTTGGCTGTTGACACTGCGACGAGCACACAAAATATACGCGCTCGAGCAACAATACGGTTGCAGGAATGTGGTCAAGGAGAAAGCCTCTCAGTTGGACTTGTTGGGTGTAACAAAACTGCTCGAATTCGCTCATCATTTCCGAAATAAAACCGCACTCGAGTATACAGATAGACTGTTCAAGATATATGGGAACACTTATATGTCTCAGATTCTGGGTTACCGGATTTACTTCACATGCGATCCGACAAACATCAAACACATTCTCTCAACGAACTTCGCGAATTATGACAGTTCCAAACTGCGGGGCCATTTGTTCGATCCCATTACACCTCATGGAATCTTCACGGTTGATGGCCCCGACTGGCGAGCAATCCGCGACCAGCTGCGCATCCAGATGTCCAACAACCGCAGAATCTGTGACCTTGCGATGTTTGAGCAGCAGTTCCAGACTTTCCTTCAGCGTGTACCGCCCGATGGCCAGAAGTTCGATATCCAGGAGTGTTTCATCAAACTTGCAATTGATATCCAGAGCAGATTTGCTTTTGGAGACTCGATCGATACCTTGCATCCTAGTCCCTCGCCGGCAAAGAAGCGCTTTGCGCAAGACTTACATATCATCAAGGAGACTATCGTTCGTGACGGCTTTCGTGGCCCACTGCGTCATCTTTCGACGAAGCTAGAGTTCCAACAGTCCTGTGCGCGGGCGCGTCGCTTTATCATGGATTATGCAGAGCGGGAAGTGGCGAAGGGACAGTCCCAGGATAGCGCAGAGGGATACTATCTCATGATGGGCCTGAGAGATAAAGGAGCAGATGCCGCCCAATTGGCAAACCAGGCTCTCAGTATTTTGCTAGCTAACGATAGCATTGCTACTACATTGTCGGGCATCTTCTTCCTTTTGTCACGGCATGAACGAGTGGTCTCAAAATTACGACAAACTATAATGGAGGAGATAGGTTCCAACCCTCCTACCTACGACCAGCTCATGAAGATCGCCTACCTCACACATGTTATCCATGAGAGTAAGGGCTCCTTCGACCTTTTTTGACTCTGTTGCTTATGATGACTCGCCACAGGTATGCGATTCTTCCCAGTGGCTCCTTTGAATGCGCGAACGGCAAACAAACACACCGTTCTGCCATCCGGTGGCGGGCTTGATGGCAGCAAACCGATTCTGATTCGCAAGGACGACATTCTTGTGTTTTCTTCCTGGTCTAGCCACCGATCGGAGGCCAGCTTTGGCTTGGATCCCGAGGAATTTCGACCCGAGCGATGGGAAACATTGAGCGCCGATGTCGCCGGGTTTATACCTTTCAACAAGGGTCCCCGGCTTTGTCCTGGAAGTGAGTATCTGCCTATACCCTAGCGAAGTTCAGCGCTGACAATCATTCTTGACTAGAACGTTATGCTATGATCTTCATCTCTTACATGGTTGTTCGTCTACTGCAGACCTTTTCACATGTAACAGACTACAATCCAGGACCGTGGGTTGAGAGGCTATCAATGACGCTGGAGAACGATAATGGTGTGTTGGTTGGGTTGAGCTGAAGGCCTATCTATGCCAAATGCTAGATAGTGGCCTGGTCTACCTGGTCCTGGAAGGTTAATGTCGTATCTGCTTCTCAGGACGGCCATTCAAATGGGTTTCCGATACTCGCGTAACAAAGTATAGCCAAAGTTTGTGAGATAGAAGAACTTGCGAATAGTCCCACTCAGAGCTAAGGTACTTGTAGCTGCAGCCTACCGAGTAGGGCAAGTCCTGTCTGCACCTTTGCCCGTCGGGGTCAGTGCCTACCTTAAGCGGATTCTCTTCCCTAGCTCTTGTCATCGCCTCCACAACCATCCACTTCTCGATCATAATTTCAACAAGGTCCAACCAAGACATACTGCCAATCTCATCCTTCACAAATACTTCACACCTTGTTTGACGATGGGTCTACTATCAATGCTTTTTGGGCATCGTCAAGTCCCAACTTTTCCGACCGATCGAATCATCCCTCTACGCGTCTGGGATGACATTCCACACTTGCGCTCATTGGTTCATGACTGTACCTTTGGCTTCGACGATGTGCTCGATATCACGAAGCTACGTGAAGCACTACATACTCTGCTTCAGATAGGTAACTGGAGACAGCTGGGGGCGCGGTTGAGGTTGAACGTAGGTTTTCCTTCCTACTGACTGACACTGAAAGGCTTCTAAGCCAAACACTGATTGGTCTGGTCTTCAGTCAGAAGGAAAACTTGAATACCATATCCCAGCCCAGTACGACGATACCCGATCAGCATTCATCTTCACGACAACAAAGCATACCTCGAGTATCAATGATCACCCACTGGGGTCTCGTCTCCCACGAACATCATCATCCAAGGCACCCTTCTTGGCCCCATGCGCGGCCGAATTCAGTCCCTTAGTGTGTGGCCATGGCTCTCCCCAAGTCCTGAGGGATTGGATTTCGTCCGATCTACCGCAGCTCAGAATTCATGTGGTCCTGTTTGATGATTCGACCCTGTTGACAATCACACACCCGCATACGCTGATGGACGCGGTAGGGCGCTCAACATTCCTGCGAGCCTGGACAGCCGTCCTGCGCGGCCAACTTGGGGAAGTTCCACCCTTCCGAGACCTGTCCGAGGACCCGCTGGCTTCGCTCGGTGTGGAAGTTCCAGGACCAAGCTACATCCATGCCGACCGGGTCCTTCAGGGACTTGGGATCGTCGGATTTGGAATCCGCTATTTGTTCGACATGTGGTTCCACCGTCAACAAGATCACCTTTTCCTCATCCCTGGCCGCTTGGTGGACCGAATGCGACAGGAGGTGCTGCAGGAAATTCCCTCCTCCGATGGCACGGCATTTTCCTATCTCAGCGAGAGTGATGTGTTGCTTTCTTGGTGGCTGAAAAGTGTGACTCGGGCATTGGACCTGTCACCGGATCAAACTATCATGTCGATGAACATGTTCGAGATTCGGGATTTGTTCCGCGACTGGTTCCCGACCGGGAGCGCTTACATCGGCAACGCCATTTTCCCTTGCTACACCCTGCTTTCTGTGCCGGAGATCATGGGGGGCAGTCTAGGGACATTGGCGCAAGCGAATCGTCGCGCGCTGAGTCGCCACCGGACCAAGGAGCAGGTGCATGCCTTGGCGGCCCTCCAAAGTCGCTCGCTGTTGAAGACAATCCCGCTCGTCGGCGAGTCAAATCTGGTGTTTATGGCCTGCACTAACCATCACAAAGCCCGGTTCTTTGAGCTGGATTTTTCCGCGGCCGTGGTCCAACCAGGGGTTCCCTTGTCAAAACGAGCCAACCAGTTGGGGCGACCCTCGTATATAGGTTATGCGGAACACACTGATGGGTACTACTCAACGAGGAATCTGCTGCGCGTGATAGGGAAAGACGCCGTGGGCAACTGGTGGCTTTCATGCACTCTACGAGAGGGGGCCTGGGAGAAAATTGTCGGACTGTTGAATTCTGCTTTGATGGAAATCGACAAGACCTTGGAAACCTGAGTATGCAGACAATTTGATGTGCCAGAGCAAGATTATATTTTGGGCGGACAAATCAGATGGTTTCATACCACTGTGGGTCTCAGCCGGGTCTTCAGCTGCAGTGGTCGATGTTATCTTGCATTCACTAGCCAGTACTAAGTTAAAGCAACTCTCGCGTCCCGATTTGGCTTGATCAACCTGGAGCCACCTACGCTACTGCAGTGATTATTATCACAGTGCACTATTAATCATGCTGTAACAAGGGAAGCAGCAATTGCTCAATGGTGGGTCCTGCGGAGGGAGACTAGGAGCCATCTCGCAATTCATGTTCAGGAAATCTGAGCGATCCTGCGTCTTTCGCGAATCTTGGGGCGCGTTTGCTGAGGAATGTGCATTGCAGAACCCACACGCGCCAAACCGGGTGTACACATATACGGTCCTCATTTTGTGACGTATCAGCTTGTTTTCTCCAAGCAACACAGTTCCTGCATTCGAGTTTCTGGATGAATCATTCCATCTCACGTGACTGAAACAGCAATGGTTGTGGTGTCGAATTGTGTGGAATAGCAATCAGTGGCCGACTTTGAGGGTTCAACAGCAGTGAGGTCCGATCATTGGTTGGAACCCGGTGGAATCAAATGTCTGATGCTATTTTGCTTGATGACATCCAGCCGATTGCCCGGTGTTCTTTCCAGGATGGGAAGACCCAAGGCACAGCGATCGAGGAGCAAATTGACTCTGTATCACGAAGAGCTGGATTGCTCACAGCCTACACCTATGCCACTCGCTATGAGAGATGGGGCTTGGTTATATGCGTCTTCTGTGCGCTGGTTGCCGGTGCAGCGCTTCCTTTGGTGACGGTAAATATTCTCTTAATTTGCACAGCGTCACACTTAAGCTGACTCGTATAGCTCATTTTCGGATCGTTCATCGATCACTTTATGAGCGGCAATTCAGATGAAGCCGAGAGAAGTGGCACAATCGCACAATCGGCCACGCAGCTGTCACTATGGCTGGTTTACATCGGTCCGTGAGTGCCCATCCGGACGAGGGCTGAACGTCGGCTGATTGATCTAGGAAGCTATCGGATCCCTTCTATCGACTTTGTGTAGCACCTGGGGGTTCAATCGCCTCGGCGAAAAGATCACGGCGAGACTACAATTAGAGTACCTCGACGCTGCTCTACATCAGAATCTGGAGTACTTCGATGCTGTCGGGTCCGGCCAGCTGACGGCTGGCATTGACACCGACATAAGAGCGATCCAGGAAGGAATTTCGCAGAAGATGGGCATGCTTATCTCCGGTTTCGCCGGCTTCATCGTGGCCATCATTATTGCCTTCTCGCAGAACCCTCAGTTTGCGGGAATCATGCTATCCCAGCCTCTGGCTCTAATGCTTGTAGTAGGTGGGCTTGGATCCTGGATGAGCAGGACTCAACGGGAAGGGCAGGTGAACTGGGTAAAGGCAGACAGCCTTGCGCAAGATGTGCTTGGTGCCATGAGAGCTGTTCTTGCGTACCGAAGTCAGGAGAGATACACGAACAAATACCAGGAAATTATTCGAGGTCCTATTCTGCTCGAGCGTCGCGAGCGTTTTATTTTCGGTACCATTGTTGCCGGATCTTTCACCGTCCTTCATTGGGCAAATGGATTAGGTGTATGTAGGTCCTACTTCCCTATCAACTTAGATTGACTGACTCTTAGCGATTGCCAATGTGTAGATCTGGCAAGCAAATCGCCGGGTTCATGAATCGGCATGTACCATCGCCGAAGCCTTGACTATCTTGTATGCAATGACGGTTGCCGGAGGAATGCTTAGCCAGGCTCTCCCTTTTCTACCCGCTATCATTCAAGCTCATGGCGCAGTCAGTCGAGTTCTTTCGGTCATTGATCGTACATCACCCTCAAACTCTGCATGTTCTGCAGGTCGCACCATCAAGTCCTTCCGCGGATGGATTGAATTTCAGAATGTGAACTTCGCGTATCCGTCCCAACCGAATCGAACGATATTAGACTGCCTTACTTTCAACGTTTTGCCAGGTCAGACAGTGGCATTCGTTGGTGCTTCAGGATCTGGGAAGTCAACGGTGCTCTGTCTTCTGGAGCGATTGTATCTACCATCCAACGGGTGCATAACGGTAGATCATGAACCCATCGAAGAGCTCAGCATCTCGTGGTTGAGGTCCCAGATGGGATACGTCGATCAGGATGTGGGTCTCTTCCGAGCGTCAATTCACGACAACATAGCCTACGGCCTTCATGTTTCTTTGAGACAGGTCTGTCGGATTACCTTATTCCAGGGAGATCGTGTACTGATTGATTTGGGTAGAGCCTAACAGCAGCAGACATCAGGCAGCGGGTTGTTGAAGCAGCCAAGATTGCTCAGATACATTCCTTCATTTCCGACCTGCCTCATAGCTACGATACAGCACTAGGCTTCCGCGGGTCCGGTTTGTCTGGAGGCCAAAGGCAGCGAATCGCCATCGCTCGGGCGATCGTGTCCCAGCCTCCAATTCTGCTTCTCGATGAAGCCACTGCCGCCCTAGACAGCAAGAGTGAAATGGAGGTCCAGAAGGCACTAGATGCAGCGATGATGGGGAGAACGACACTTGTGATTGCGCATCGACTGTCCACAATCCAGCGTGCCGACAAGATTATCGTCATGCACAATGGACAGATCAGGGCTCAAGGCTCACACGCAGAACTCATGCGCACATGCGAAATTTACCAAGCTTTAGTCAGGCAACAGAGCATGAAGACGGAACCTCCAGCTCAGGAAGCGTTACAATATGACAGAAACTCGTTTTCAGAGGATGTGTCAACTGAAGACTGGAGGTACATTACAAAATTGGGTACAATCATCCATAAGCCAAACAATGGCTCTGCATCTACCCAGGTCCCTCGGGGTAGCTTTGGATTTGTTTGGAAGCTCAATGAGCCAGAACTGCTTTATCTTGTAGCTGGCGTTTTTCTTAGTATCCTTGCAGGCATGAGCTATCCCCTTCACGCGATCTTCTTCGGGAACGGAATTGTTTCTATCATTGATCCTGAGCTAAGTACGGGTGATCACCCCGCCCGTTTCTGGGCTCTGATGTACCTTATCCATGGTGCTGTTGTCTTTGCGATATACTGTGGCCGGGGATATTGTTTCGCAGCTTCTGCATCCATGCTTCACATGCGAGCCCGCGCTTTCCTATTCGAATCCCTCCTCTCAAAGGGGTTCCCGTTCTTCGATGACGAGGCTCATTCAACCGGATCCCTTCTCAGTGTTCTTTCTTTCGACGCTCAGAAGATCATCGGCATCTCAGGGACATCCCTTGGTTTGACTGCTGAGAGCGTGTTCATGCTCGTCACTGGGGTCACTGTCGGGTGTGCCTTTGGCTGGAAGCTGGGATTGGCCTCAACAGCGATAATCCCGTTCATCGCCGCGTCGGGATTTCTGCAGTATTTCATTGTGATGCATGTGCAAAGATACATCAGACGGAACTCCGATGCAGTTGCAGTCGCACATGAGGCTTTTACCGCAGTCCGAACCGTGACCGTCCTCGGGCTGCAGAGCACCATCAGCGCGACATTTGCCGCCCAGATCCAGCAGGACGTTCGAGAGAGATACTGGATCTTGACCGGCGTAGCCTACGCATGCGGGACGTTCTTTCGTGTGTTGGGCATTGCTTTTGTCTTCTGGTATGGAGGAGTCCATCTCATTGCCACAGGAAAGTACTCTATTCAGCAGTTCTACGTCTGCTTCGCGGCTATCGTGTGGGGGTCCCAGGCGGCGTCGACTCTCTTTGCGCATGCGCCGGACGTCGCAGGCGCGCAGATGGCCGCTTCTCGGATGCAAAGTCTTATGCATGGGTCAAGCTTTGCTCAATCAGAAGGTGCTGTGCCGACCCCAAGCACTGTCAAGGATGTCGCACTGCGGAAAGTTCACTTCAGGTATCCCACCCGCCCTTCTGCGTCCTGGACTCTGAATGGTATTAGTCTGAATGCGCGCGCTGGACACTTTGTCGGTCTGGTTGGAGCAACTGGAAGCGGGAAAAGCTCTGTGATCAACCTCCTTGAGCGCTTTTATTCTATTGGCTCTGGTAGTATTACGCTTAATGGGGCGTCGATCGACGAGTACGATCTTGAGTCATACTATCATTACTTCGCCCTCGTCGACCAGAACCCGTGCCTTGTGGGCGAAGATATCCGGGAGGCTCTTCATAGTGATAACAGAGTCATCCCTGATGAGCAGCTTCTTGCTGTTCTAGCCAAGGTGGGGCTGGAAGAGTTCGTTGTGAGTACCTGTCACCACCTGGTCAGTGGATTCCCCGCCTAATCCATTCATACTAGTTGTCCCTTCCTCAAGGACTCGGAACACCCATCATAGCAAACGGAACCAATCTCTCAGGTGGTCAACGTCAACTGATGGCCATTGCAAAAGCCCTGCTATGGAAGCCGAAAATACTGTACGTGATTCTGGCTCTCCCGCATGGCTCTAGACGAGCGGACTGACAGGAAAACAGACTCCTAGACGAAGCAACTTCAGCATTAGATGTGTCCTCAGAGTATCAAGTACAAGAGGCCCTACGCGAGGCAATGGCCGGTCGGACAACCATCGCTGTGGCTCATCGCTTGAAGACAATCATGCACGCAGATGAGATTTTGGTCTTCGAAAATGGGCGAATTATCGAAAGGGGGACGCATCGGAAACTCATGGAGAGGCGGGGCAAGTACTGGGAATTGGCGCAGTTGCAGGAGTTGGAGGGGTGATCCTGCCCCGGTTTATTTTTGTCTGGTCACAGTCACTATGGTCGAAGTCTAATTTTTGCCGAGCACGCGGTAGCCGAAATGTACTGTACAATTACTGCACATGATGACCGCGCCCACATCCAATCCGCAACCAAGCCTTGGGCTGATCTGACTTGGCGAAGACAAGCATTGGCCAAGAGGCTCGTATTACCGCTGCGCTGAAGTATTTCTGGGATCGTGAGGCTGAGCTTTTTCGAGGTGTATTTCAGCGTGTCAGGTGAGATCGTACTGTGCTTTCTACGCAGCATCTACTGTTTCTAAGCGTAGGCCTTACGCTGTATGGGTTCAGTTAACTCGTGAGGCATTCTGGAGAAGAGAACAAGTCTGATTCTAATGGCATATTTAGGCTAGCAAAGCTGTAATACACGCCTGATGTACACCTGGAAAAGCAATTATCGACGAGGTCATCCCGCATTGGCCGAAATACGAGAGGTACGCCTGATGTCTCACAACCTCTACCAACGGGATTGTGCAACCTCGAATTCGATAAATATAGCAGAGACATTGTCTGTGCCTGACGTCGACTTACAAATCTGAGATGGGAATGAGCGACTTAGTTGAATCGAGCAAGCTGATGCAGCTTTCATGTCATGCCTGGATGTGTCCGAATTAAGGGACTAGAAACAACTACATAAGGGCCATCGATTCCACAGAAGAGGCCTGATAATTCATCAACATCACCATCCAACACAACCTGACAACCTAGATCAGCAACCATGAAGAGCATCCTCGCCCTCGCAACCTTCGCCACCACGGCCCTGAGCCAAGGCATCTTCATAAACTCCCCTGCAGCAGGCACCGAACTCCAAGTTGGAGAAACCATCACCGTCCAGGTCGCTCGCGGCGTACGATCTGCCTTTTCCAACCCTTTCTATCTGCCTTCTTTCCGCATAACCCTCACCTTACCCAAGCAGACAGGAGGCCCCTGATTGACAATCAAACGATGACAGGACTACATCCAAGCCATGACGGAAATCGGCATCGCGATCGGCATCCAATCCTGCCCCGACACTCGCCCCTGCCCTTCCCCGGACGAATACCTGCAATACGTGCTCTACACCGGACCGTATGACCCTCAGTATGAGACGGGGTTCTACGATCAGTATCAGAATTTCACGATCACGGTGCCCGACGTGACGGGACCGGCGCAGATCGGGGTGACGAGGGCTTATCTTGTTGGGGTATGTGGCTTTCTTCTCTTTGCATCGCGGAGGGAAATGGATGTGGCTGGAAGGAGCATGCATGCTGATGATGTGTTCTGGGTGTCTAGGCCGGTTATTTGACTGTTGTTGGGTCGACGGCGAGTAACTATACTATTGTGGCGTGATGGAGGGGTGGGAAAGTTGGGAGAATGGGTATGTTGAGATGGTTCTGTTCTGAGATAGAGTTTGGGATTGAGGCTGGTTTTCCAGTTAGTGCTTTGAGTATTCTGGGTTTCGTGGAAACGAGAGTCATTGGGGTCATCTTCAAGTTTACCTTTGTCTTCTTCCATTTCAAGTAGGCAAAGTCCGTCGTTGTGGAAGCAAAGCGGGGCGTAGGCAGGACCCTGGGGACCCACCCCCGGAAGACTGACCCCGGGGGAAAGCTTATACTAGTAGCATATGCTCTTTCTCCACTCAGTCGTTCCAGTACTTTAGCCTCTGTGGACTCATTTTTATGTTTGATAGATAATCAAGGGAAACACATATAGTACTAGACCAGAAGGTCCCAAGTATGCATCTGCAGACTCCGTTGTATGAGAAAAAAAACCTCAAATAACTGATGAAGAACCCATCTCTTTCAAGGCATGCAACTGCCCCCTCCAGGCTCCCGCTTCTCCCCCCCCCCCATGGATGACCGACTGTGCACCTCCCACCTCTTGACTCACCAGCCGCGCCCGAGCCACACCGGGCCAGTGTGTCGAGCCGCATGGCTGCGCATTCAATCGCCAATGGCCGCGCAAAGAATTGTATGGTCTCTGTGTCGGGTTAATGTCTGAAAAAGGCGGTGAATAACGCCTGGAGCCCGACAATGGGAATACTGCCGAACGAGTTAAGCATCAGCGCATTGATGCGTGTGAATTGCGCAACGACGGGTGAATCCGCTCCTGCGCCCTCACTCGCCCCCGGGCATAAATATCTCCTCCTTCTCCTTCCCTTCGCCGTTTCTCTTCCTTCCTGCTTCCTTCCTCCCACGAACCACCAGCTTCCATCGTTCCAATTTCATGATCACCCTCCCATCTCTGGTCAAGGTTGAGGTCTATCTCATGGCTTGACTTGTTTCTTTACTTGTTCTTTGTCATCATCATCATCATCTTCATCATCAGTCGTCATCAACTCTCACTTGCTTCTGTGATTCTGCTTTACTTCTATCAAGCTCCCTTTCTTCTATCGAGCTCACTTTCTGTCATCAAGCCCACCTCAACCTGTTCTACCTTTATCACATCTACCTCTATTCAGCCCACTTGTCTCTATCAAGTCCATCAAGTTGCTTCAACTTCCCACTCCCACGGTTTTTTCTTCTCACTCTTCCCCTGTGTCAAATCTACATCTCATGATCCTCATCCTCGGAAGAGTGGAAAGTGATGAGCGAGCTCGCTCTACGAAGAAGCCCTCTGGTAAGTCCAGTTATCTCTCTCCTCCTGACCCGGTCTGAGCTGAGTCAAATGTATCCATCTTCAGATCAAGGCTGACACTCGTCCACAGAGCCTAGAGGCTGGGTCTATGGCTACGGCCGAAATGGACTACTTCTAAGCAAGCTGTGATCGCAGCGACATGAACAGTCAGATCCTTCCGGACAATATAGCTCCCGTTCCGTGATGCAACGAGCCTTGTCTGCGCGTTTCAGCTCATGACACAGCTCAAGACTGTCAGCGAACCGGAACTTGACTGCCTGGGAACTTGATGAGGCAAACTGAGGTATATGATACTCAGAACTTCCCTTCCACAAAAATAGCGAGACTGACAGTCATGGCTTCAAGGTCTCGAGATCGCCTGTTTATGAACCTACACAAAGACTCTGCAGTCACGGGCGACCGAGCTCCACCAAAGTTGGATGTCGAATGCAAAGCCCTTTGGTCGGTCGACAGGGTTTGGCATGCTCATATGTCTGGCATGTTGTTACCCCATATGAGCAACGCCATCGGCGCGGAAAGAGCCACTGGCTGAGTGGCACGGCAGCCAGAGTGGATGCTCCAGCAAGTCAATATGCTGAGCTACTGAAAGACGCCGTCAGCTTCAGCGTGGCCGTGACAAACTCAAGGAGATCACGGCAGCGCAGAGTTGAATATCAAACACCAGTAAGCAAAAAGCTGGAACCTGATTGCGACCGTCTGGTAGCTGAGATCATCTTCTCCCTCCATCTTATATCCTTCACAGGACCCAACAGAACGCCAGTTGACACTTGCATGTGCAAGCCCAGGCGGATCTTGCCACGCCAGCGTCTGGCTTGCTTACATCTCCTGCTCATTCTTGATCTGACTTTCTTGTCTCAATCATCTTGATCCCTTTCGCTGTATTAGCAAGTGCACCATGCTTTGCCTCAGCTCAGTGTTGAATTCTCCAGGCACAAGACATTGCTTGTGGGGCTTGCTTGACGTTTGAGTCTCTAAAGATATGCTGTTGATCTTTTTGACGTGACAGACAACTCGTGTTTCTTGCGGTGGTTTCACATTGGACCATGGCAATGTCTAATCTCTTCTCACCTGCTTATGATTTTTCTTCAACCCTGTGCGATCTCGTCGCGTCCCTCAATTTGCTTCCTGCAGTCTGGGTCTCTCTATGTCGTTTCAGTGCTATGTTATACCTGTTGCCTGAAGCGCAAAGGCATGGCAGAGGTGAAAGAACAAAAATCATCAGTTCACAATCGAGGTAGGGTGAGATATACCCTCTCTCAGAAAGCGAAACTGAGATTGCTCGTTCGTTTACCTCGGGTTCGGGTACTAAGGATTGAGGCTCCTCAATCGGAGAAAGTCATTCAGAGAGTCACAAGACCAGGCCGCCCCATGAGTGGCCATATGACTACTGCAACGCGTCTGAGTTTGACTGATCTCTGTTCAGTCGAGTATGTTTATGCAATGGGCCAGGTCGGCACCAAGCTCTACAAAATTGTCGACGAGCTCGGTGTTAATTGGACTACCAAACGAGCCTACACGGAAATCCCAGAGTCCGACACGGAGGAAAAAGTCAGAAAGTAAGTACTTAAGGTGATGACTTAATACCGCGACGATGTGAAAAAGGCCTTGGAAATTTTCAGTCAACGCGCATGCGACTGGCGCTCGGAATGCCTAGACTGGGAAGATACATTGCTTATTAAAGCAAACATTCTTACCCAAACTGAGAAAGACGAGCTCGATACAGTTGTCTTGAACCACAAGAACCATGACTATTCAGCATGGACGGCAGTATTATCCACCATGGGAGGATTGCACAACTACAGGAACTCGGAGAATGTGAGAAAGTCGAATAAATGGTATGTTTACCCCGGTCTTTACTACTGGAAGGCAAGAATCGAGAAACTTGATCAAAGCCTCGTCAACCTGTCCAAGGAAGTGGACCAGGACGAAAAATATCTGGCAGAGGAAGCTAGCAAGGAAGAAGAAGCGAGAAAGCTCGCCGCGTGTGGTCTGACACTTATGTCTCGGGCATCCTTGATATTGTTCCAAGCATTTACTCCGGTACTACGATAGTCGTTTCGCCCGGCATCCTTGATTTCGATACGTCGCATTCAACACTGATGCGACAACAGATCAGCAGCCGCGTCAGTTTTTATACCTGCAATGCCAAGGTTCTCCAAAGATGGCTCACTTATCGCCGTCTTTGAAGAAGGCACAGAGTTCCGAAGTTGAAAATACGAAACGTACTCAACCAGACTGAGCAACATGGCGGATGCCGTACAATTCCGCACCTCTCTTCCTGCGATATCCCATCTTCTCGCGGGCTGGTAGATTTTGCTTCGGTATGCAGTCTACTGTCTGCCCTTGCCTCCTTACACGAGACCCCCGAAACACAAGAGAACCAGATGCAAGGGTACGGCAAACAGGCACTAAGGTGGCTCAAATCCTAACATAATTGGCATTTCTGCCAATCGCCATTGGTCGATTCGTATTAGGGAACTATTCATGAAAACCCTCGAAGAACTGCACAAGGTGTCCAAGAAAAACGTCGGCTTCTTTAAAGACTCAGTCAAAGACTCTACGAGCCTGTACCTTGCTTATGATGGGCGGTATCCCTTGCACAGTGGTGTGGTAAAGTTCAGAGAGAGGGTGGAAAAGGCGGAGGTCGTCGCTTGTTGGCGAGTCTCAACCGAGGGCATGATGAGGAACACCGAGGTCATGTTGAAGCAATGGGAGCCGATGCAAAGCATCAACAGCTCCAGCATCGGAGCATTTCTTCCCATCAGCTGATGATTCTTTAAGGGTTTTTACAGGAACCGCAAGAACGCACTGCGTGCCCTACTTCTGAATACTTGCGTGTTGGCAGGACTTTTTGAAATCTGCGCGTGATGGAGCGCCTATTCGCAAAGTCTACTTCTGAGGTTACCTCCAATCAGTACACTATCGATCCAGACCCCGCAAAGCCTGGTGCTTGGCTATATTGGAGCACAGGTCGAGACATGGGCAACGTGAAAACAAGATGTTGATATAATCTGGTCCCCAGGGTAATCTTGATACAACCATCCTCCTAGGTCGAATCAATTGTGAAGCTTTCATCACCACAGGTCAGGCTGCGCGCCCTGACATGTTTTATGTTGATACCACCAAGGCTCGGACTAAGAACGGTCCCTTTTGCCAACGTCGCGCCTTTGTGGTTCCATCTTCCCGTCGTTAGGTTCCTCTTACCTCTTTATCTCCCATGACTAACATTTAACTTAGTTTAATGCCGATCTCAACGCTATTGCTATGGCAGTATGTTGCTTCTCGGAAGAGGATTGAGGATATGACAAAGGAGGAATTGGTCACGCTGTTTTGTCGTACATCACAGACATTCGATTCTGTTCAACAGACTCCTCTTTCTGCCGAGGCTGGCCCGTCGCCCTCCACCTCTGCGGCGTTGCCAGGGTCGGCTGTTCCGCGCCGATTGTGGATTTTGTGACACGAGCTTCCTGCCTACACTGTATTACCCACTCTACTATTACTCGTCAGAGAGCATTTCGAGAGTGCATACGTCTTATCGAGTGGTTGGGAGGAGCGTGTGCAGAGTGTCTGCTTTCCGGAAATCGCTGGGGCGGTTGTTCGCTCGCCAACACCCTTGAACGCCGTTTTGACCCTACCGATCTATCTGGTGCCTCTCACGCCGATGACCTGAATGTAGTAAATCTTCTTTCCAACTCGGAATCTGAAATTCCCGAGCTCGTCGTTCCAGAAGTCGAAATCCTCGCCCTGGTAACTTGCTGAAGTCTTCCCGCGTGGAGGCTCAATATATAGGTTCAAAAGCCGTACCTGTCTAGGCCTCTGCGAGCCGAGACAATACCTTTGCAAATGCCAACAAGAAGATTGACTCATGCAAGGATTTTGGCTCTCCGGAATTTTAACCTCATTATTAACAAAGGTCTCGAGGGCGCCATGTTCACTATATTTCTGGTACAATTGCAAGATTCGATTGCCGACTCCAGTGAGATTGCGTGCTACTCAAGCTACCGATACAGTGCAATGTGGATTGTGCTCTCTAAGGATGGTAGGCGCCATTGCATACATTCTTTTATTCCAAGATTAGGACGGTTTGCATACATTTTTGTCCATGTGCAGTGTCTCAATTGATTGTCTGTGTCGGAGCTGTGCTCTCTGGGTGAGAACGGCATCCGCGAGCTGGCATCCGCTGTTCTGTAGGTCGGGGACTCGCTTCAAGCTCGCCTTTCTTTGATTAATTATGCGGTCTTGTTCTTTTACAACAAGCTCATGCATCCGCCGGTATGTGATCCCCTCTTCCCCTGAATGACTTCCCTTGGAGCGTCGCTGTGCAGCGTTGACCAGTCTCTGCCTCATAGCGCCCGCCCTGCAACGGTCCTGATTTCTGATGTATCCCGCGGCGCCACATCTTCAGCGAGTAAATATGCGTCTCTCATACCACAGTCCGGAACACCCCGGAGGGGAATTTCGGAGTCATAGTCTGCTTGCAATCCGATATCAGTCGATATACACTGGACTGGCGAGATGACACTCATTCTACGCGTGTCGCAGTACCTGTGGCTTCTTATCAACCTGCCAACATTGCGACTATACGCTTGCGATCATGCCATGATTGAGAGCAGATAGAGGTCTATACAACCACGCTCAAGCAGAGCTGTGGGAGGGTGGCCGTGGCGGCCGTCTGCAGAGATGAAAGCAGCGTATGCGAGCCCACAATCCACAGGCAAAGCCAACCCAAGTCCACGCGGGCTGGAAATAGCAGGTATAGGGCTGCTCTTGCATTGCGGGCTTGGGGATTGTTCATCGGCACAACCACCTGCGACGAACAAACGCCCCCCGCAAGCGAATCACTACACCACTTCCACATAAAGCCTCTCACCTGCGAATCATGTTTGGGCCCTCAAACTTTGCACCCTATCTTAGCGTACTCCTGCTGCAAAGCTCTTACCCACTTTTCTTTTAGGGAAAACCTATCGAAATGATTGATCTCACTGAACACAGTGTCAGGCAAAGCGATCTTCGCCTGTTCTTATTCTTCATCTTCATGTTCAAATGGGGCCGAAGGGATCGATAAGGGGGCTTGTGCAGAACCCAAAGCATTGCGAGGGGAAGCCTTACGCTCACGTTCAAAACTACGAAGTTGAGTTGTTCAGCGAGAGAACTTGTAAGTCTTCCCTTTATTTTTCTCTGATTATTCAGAGCTTTATTGTCTAACAGTCCGAGCCTTCCTAGGGAACTGTGGACTAATGCCACTCGATCGAGTCGCGGTGCTGACTGACTCGCATGGACAATCTCGTCAACTAAAGTGGCAGCTTGACGCATCTCGCCGAAAGCTTGACGGCTAGCGCGTAGATCGCTGACATATTTCACTAATTCGAACCATCGTGCTGAACGATAGCAGCAAATTTCTTGCTTATCGACTAGAGAAGTCAAAGAGAATAGCCGCTGGTTTGGGCAGAGTATGCTACCCAAAATCCCAAAGAGAGACTCTCAAGGTTGCACACTGAATGACTCGGATGCCGCCGCCCTTATCCAGAAGGAGTTTATACACAATGGCGCTCATTTTTGTTCTCTGAGGATTCATTGGGTCGCAGATCTTGAAGCTACACCAGCTTATCGAGAGAGGTGTTGACTTCTTATATGCTGCCCTTAACCTCCTCCCCGCGGTCCTTCACAGTCGCTGGCAGTCTGGACGTATACGATGTAAGTTGCCTGAATTTACAGGGTCCTTTCTGTCCATCAGTTGAGCTAACGATTCTGGTCCATTCTAATGATGCCAACAGTATTGGCTGAGTCGGGGCTCTCATTTTCATTAGGGATAACGACTTTTTGTGGAAGAAGAGCTCGATTCTTTGCCTCACTTCTAAATTGAACCCGGTGGCCCAGTACAGAAGGACTTGGATAAGTTGAGCCTGCGCCGTGAGCTACAAGGATCTCGAATAGGCAGGCTCGATGAACTCCGCGGCGGTGAATCTAACACTGAGCCCTAGTTCGAAGTCGTCACCTAAACTGGCGCAAATCGGGTCTTTACCAAAGTCACCTATGCTCCTGTCTATGTACCCGCTCAATCACCTGAATACGCATTGCAGCACTCAATGCGAATACTGGCATCGAGTTCCAATTGATCAACTCCAATTAGCCAGAAGATGACCCCGAACAGGCGCGGCCTTGATGACTAAATTGATCGAATGACTTGGCACCTGTAAATAGGAGCATGGCAGTGAAGTGACAGGGATTATCTATAGTCTTAATCTGTCAGTCGGAGCCCCCAGCTACCCATTCTGCTAGCAGATGAGCCGGTCATTGAGCTGTAACGAAGGTATCAAAACTCGCATCGCATTCGTTGTCACTGACGGCCCATCGGGCCCATCTGCGCCTACCGTCCACATTATATCGAGTAGGGGTCCGTCAATCCTAGCTATTTACCGACAAAGAAAGGCCACCAGTCCCTACGGCTGTCGGTCGCTACTCCAGCACTACACAGTACGCGGCAGCCATCGGAAGTCCTCTTCGATTCTATCCAGCCCCAACAGTCGATTCGCCTCCCGGGTACTACCGCGGCCGTCCGCCGTCCTCCACCTCTACCGTCCCCACTCACGTGAGAACCTTGAAAGGTCCAGCCCCAAAATCCGTCGCCATGGCTTAGGATCCCGAGTACCTGGATGACAAGCCCCTTGTATCCGAAACCGAGTGCTCGAAAAAGACGTCCGCGTTCGAGCGCCACTTGACCAGTTTGCTGGAAGTCCAAGGACAACCTCCAACCAGAGACCCGGACCATCGAATCAACTTTTCTAGGACGAATACGAGCAAATACAAGAGCAACTCATACTTCCGCGAGGCAAAACTCCCCCAGACGCGCGGCGCCATCCTGCTACGTGCTCAATCATGCCTACGATGCCAGAGAAGCTGGAGAAGTGGCAATAGTGCGTCGTTATCAATGACGAGGATCTGCCACAGTCAGCCAGCAGAATCATCTATCAATCAGCCAATGTCATCGCATGCCTATTGGCGGAACGCCGCCCCCCTCAACACGGACCCAGGATTAACGTGAAGCCGACAACGAGGAGCTGATACGCCGACAGGCTCTTCTACTTGCCGAGCAGGGGACGAAGCTGAATACAGAGCCGCGCGCATCGCCAAGCACACCAGATATACCCGAGAGATGGTACCGCATCGCGTCCATTACTGTGGCACAGAAGCGCTAAGTCTGAACCGTTGAATTGCTGTTGGGGAGTTGAGGTGTCAAGCCTTGGACCAGGAACTCAAGAAAATGTGGTGGAGCGCCTTTGTGGCTGTTACGACTTGACTTCCTGGATTCAATCCAGCCGTATAGCATGATTATTGTGTCCGCTATCGGTGACATGGTAGGCGATCAGTAGGTTGCTGCATGTGATGCATACTTCTGTCTGGACGAATTTCCATCGACCGAGACAAGTCGTCTAGACTGCAACTACACCTACTGCCACACGTTGGAACGGAATGAAAGAGCGAAAATGCCTCGAGCACTGGCATGTTCAATCTTTACGTATGTTAACAACTTATCGCCTCGACGGGGTCAATCCTCTCCAATCTCAAACAGTCTGGTGCGTTTGCTTAACTTACCCCGGGCTGTATATGGCCGATGACAGAACTGAGACATCCGCAACTCCACTCGGCGGACATTAAAAGTTGCATGAAGAGAATTCTACATGACCTATGGTCCCAAGAGCTCTGAATCGGGCCAAGGCCGCCAAGGATCGGCACACAAGCAATCTCAGCACAGAAGGTATTACATGCAAGCTTTCAGTGAATTGGCCTGGGTTGCGATCTCGCGCTTGTAGTGATGAGCCCCGTGTGACAGTTTCATAAGACATCAAGGTCACCAGATGCAAGGATCGCGATCGCCGACAAGTCGAATGTGCGAAGTCAATTCAGTCTCCATTTTGTGCCCTCAAATACCCAGTGATGAGGTGACAAACAGAGCTGCCCTTATGCTGACAGCGAGCTCAACAACTATATGACAACCGCGGTGCAGATGTAAAATGTCAGAGCCCTCGGTTAGCAGAGCGTGCGCGTCTGGAGGTTAACCGCAGCTGAAGTCGTCGAAGAGGATGTGCTCATGCTTGGCAAGCTCAAAATCTAAGGCATAGGTGAGCTTCTTCGTAACGGAGGAAGAAAAGCTACGCACCTCAAGGCATAGTTGCGTTGGCACAGACAGGCAATTTTCAAATCTCCTGCCCTTCATCTTGGCTTGCGTGTTGAAGACTTCACGAGCTGGAGTTCAACATCCTGAGACGTCAGCGCTTGAAGGAAGATCCGAGAACGACTACTGGAAGCTGATCCAGTTCCATTGATGGCTAGGGTCTCCTGCTTGTCAAGAAAACATGAATTCAAACCATATGAGGTCTTCGCCATAGCCCCCGATAGTCACAGACAGGCTAGCGAGCGCCCCGGGCCATGGCGAGGAATAAGACCGCACGAGCAAATTGAGACCAATGCAAGTGGCACGCATCGTGGCCATAGCGCTATCTTCCTCTGCTCCTTTCTAAGCAAATCAGGAGAATCTCAAATATCGAACGCCGGTCATTAGATTGGATGTCCTAGAGACAGACTGAGAACCCAGATCGAATGGCAACATGCTAGTTCAGCATAAAACATTTCGCGAAGTGACTCATCCCTGGATCCTTATCTCCGGATATGAGCACAAGTCATGTTACCTATTTGTCCAACTATGATCCTCGCCTGAGATGATCCCCAGCTATAGGGGCAAGCTGTGTGAGAAGCAACAGTCCGTTCTCGTTCTCAGAAAATAGCCTTTTTTTGGTTGATCACCGGCGATCCAACCACATGTTTGGTTCCATGTACTATGCTACGACACTCCCAGAAAGAGAGTGGATCATTGTCAATGGGAAGCAAAGAGCTCAAGTTCCGACAGGTACCTCAAACTGTGCGATAGTTCAAATACTGCTTCGCAGGAGGGGTTCTATGCACAAAGGTAGCAGGTTCCGATCGAGCTCGGATCAGACTTGAAGGGCATGAGTTTGATCACCACAGAGAGGGCACATCTCGCCCTACCTCCTGATAAGTGGTTCTGGTGGGGACTTTGATCAAAGCATATGTGGAAGCACTACTTTGCGCGCATGCTTTTTTCTCCGGGCCGGAGATTTAAACCATTAGACGTGGAAAGCCGGACAGAAAACGCGACACTGTATCTTGTGGAGCGGATCTCGCGTGGCTGTTCCGCTCAGCCAATGTGAGACTCTAATCGTTCGACCTTATGGTCGATTAAGACAGTGGATTTGACATCCGAAAAGACCAACTGTTCACTGTTCTTGAAAGAAAAGTGGTTTCACAGAAAGCAAAGAACGTTGTGCTGTTCAGTCCAATGGCCGCGGCCAAGCATACATTCCCTCCTTTTGTCCTGCTTTTAGCAATGCTCTCCTCCGCTCACCGCTGCATTGATTCCAGCACCGATACTATCTGGCACACAGTCCGGCTGACTGAGAGGTTTAACAACAATTTCGGCAATCTCCTAAACCTCTACGATGAGAATGGCAACGAGTATGACTTAGTTATTCACGAACTTGACATGTCGCCTCTTTGGCGCCATTTCCCTATTGTTAGTATCCTCCCATTTGCAGATTTGTCTGAACTAATCTCTAAGCTAGTTCAATGCTGACCTCGATGCCCTTACAATGGCCCTCTATGTGATTTTGTCACAGTCGCATCAGGTCCTCACCGCATAACATCCTCCACTGTTACTCGTCGCCGTGCCTTTCGCACGTGTATCCGCCTCCCTGGCTGGTTTGGCGAGGCCTGTGCACAGTCTCTTCTTCAGGGGTAACCTTGGGGCTGTCGTCTGTAACCCACTCGCTTGAACGTCGTTGCAACCCGGCTGATAATGAAGGTTCATCTTCCAACGACGAGTTGATTTATTCGAAGCCATCTGGTTTCTCCTTCCTCGAGAATAACGACTAGCAGAGTGAACAAGGGAGGAATTGACCTTTCTTCCATTGAATATATTACCGAGCGCCGATCCACCCTATGTTATCCACACCTCAAGTTACTCGCCTCGAAGCTCGGCCTCCGCACCGGAACGGACAACCATGCTCAATTGCAGTCCTAAAGTCTCTTACCTCGCGGGCCACAACCATGAGATAGACAACATCAAGGCCTTGGAGGACAGATACCTGTGGTTCAGGTGGGGAAAGCGGCCCCGCGCGAACCTAGGAGACTGTCACGAACGCTTACATCATTCAATGGGGCTGTGCACCTGAGCAATGCACCTCTGATTATTCCAGTACTGAAACCTCGTCAATTGGTGAGAGTACCAAGCCTGGGTTCACAAGCCACACGCGAGCTTTCTTGGAATCTCACCCCCACCATCGCCGCCGCCGCGCCAGCCCTCCTGCCCCCCCGCGCCGCTACCTACGTGCGGGGCAATCGGGTTTTGCAACTGACGATGACAAATGTCGTCGCGGCCCCCATGCGCCCTGGACCTCCCCCGCCTCCCGCGGGCACCCACAGGGCAATTTGGGACTAGCCGGCTCCCCACGAGCGGGCCAACGATGAGGAGTGGGGGGGTGCCTCCCTCTTTGTTTAGTTGCCTCCCGCGGCCTGGTTTTCAGGTCGTTCGGAGGCGACACCCGCCGTGGTGCCCGGCCTCCCACCCTGGACAGGTTCGCAGCCCCTGTCGGGTCGCGAGCGGGCCTGGACCCGCGAGCCCATTGTGCGGTCTGTGCCGTACATTGGGTGGTCGGACCCCAGGCAGCTGGCTGTCCGGGCCCAACTACGCGAGGGCATCCTCGTGACTCGAGCTGGCCGGCAGCCGCCGCCAAATACATCCAGTGGAGAGTGTTTCACTAAACGAAGACACCGTCACGTCTAGCCGAAAGCTGAACTCAAGCAGGGCCTGACCGCAGATGATCAAACACTGCGGCGCAGACACAAGAAGCTCCACTATCCTATCACACGGAGAGCGTTGCACACAGTGTCACTACCAAGATGTCGTCTACGGCGCGGCTCGCAAGGGCATGCCAATATTTCCTTGTGTCTCTACGCGAACTTGTCAAATGTTGTAATGGGTCGGAAGCCAATCGGTGCCTGCACATGCTGCTATAAACCTCTTGGGATATGATGTGTCTACCATTTCTCTCCAACTACACACGGAGCTTGACATTTGCTGACAGGGATCCGGATTGTATATCCTCAATCCACATGCCAAGAAAGTAGGAGTCGCTAATCTCCTTGCGGTGTTCAGATCCTGACTCGGCATGGCTGCACCTTCTGCCAAGCTGGCTATGGCTATCGCACACAAAGACTGGCCCAGGGAGCCCAGAGACAGTTCTTGCGGCAAGATAAATGTCCCACACCCTGTAACAACAAGCGGGGAGACCATAGGTTGTGGTTCTGCAATTACAGGGCACTGGTACTACCAGGAGGCGAAATCCCTGCGGGGAAAGGAGATTATTTATGGGAGCGGGGAGAGTGCTGCGCAGAGACTCAGGGAGGCAATGGGCCCAGGCCATAATATGTCGTGGAATCAAGAACCTTCGCCATCTTGGAATGCCTTGAGTCCACGCTACAAGTATGCGTACAGCTCGATGGAAACGATTGAGAAGAGAAAAGGAGAGAACGGGTGCTCATCCATCCCCGGTGTCAACGAATCGAGCAAAATCGGGAGAAGATCAGGAAGCTTTGTGAGGACAAGGAAGAAGGGCACAAGGAGATTGACCTGGACACTACTGTCTCAGACCACGACTTAAGCTATGTGTGGCTTTGTGCCATCAAACCACGACTTAAGCTATGTGTGGCTTTGTGCCATCTCCATGTATCAAGAGTGGCCGGGTCGAATTCTCGAACGGAAAGCGAGATCTCCAATATCCTCGGTCATTGCTGCGCGATGCATGAACTCGTCCTACCACTAATATGACAGACTGGAGTTGGAAAGATCCGACATCGCCTAGCTCCATTTCCTGGCGGATTTCAATGCGGTGTATGTTAGAAGCGGCATATTCGCAATCTTGAAGCAAACCTTGTGGGAAGGAAACGCCAAAAGCGAAAACGCGTACAATACCTATGAAACAATACTCGAATACAGGCGCGTGAAAGAGGCTGAAGCCATCCAGAAGCCATCGATTAGGCTACAGCAACATGCTGAGGTAGGGGCGTTGTCATTGTCCCTTGCCCCAGAGAGGGGGCAGACGGGGGTTGAGATGGAGAAAGACTACATCGAGAGATTTCAGCCGAGAGATACAGACGAGCTCCAGAAGCCGGGCCTAAGAAATTGCCCACGCAAAGGCGGAGAGAGCAGAAATCAGCAATGAATCTCTACCGATACGACTGGAGAACGGCTTCGTTACTAGCTGACAGGGTCTTCTTTCTAATTGCTTGTACCGCAGCAAGTGGTCCACTTCCGCTCGCCCGAGCCCGAGCCCGAATATTGGAACGAAACTGGGCAAACGCGCTGTTACAATCTTGGCAATAATAATGACATGTGATGATGAGGAGACTCGTGCCAGCATCAACCAAATGACTCAGATCCGCAAAAAGGACATTTATGAGAAGATATCTGAGAAGAGCAGGCAAACACCAACGGCGAAACGAAATAGATCTCTCGAATCCAACCCTGAAACACCGCTCAAGAAAGCAAAATCGCTGGAGCGGATTAATGAGGAAGGCGACAGGACTAGTGATGAAGGTTCAACGATGTCCCCAGCAAGAATGTCGATGAGGGTGCTATTGAGACACCAGAGCCAAGACTCTCAACTCACAAGCACAAAGCCTGGCCTAATTCCCAGGCATGACGCATACAGTTCAAGATCAAGTATGGAGTCAGCTAAAAAATAGTAGAGGGGCGCTCATCTGGCGGACATACAAATTAGGGCAAGCTGCTCGGGGCCGATGAGCGCAATATGTCACCACCGTCCGAATCTCGCCGCAAGACCATTCGAAGTTGGAAGCAGTAGCGATTCAGCGTACATCAATGAAGACAAATCATCGGACGGTAATACCAAATCCAACTCTCCTGAGATCCGATTATCGGGCCAAGCGGCGCAAAATCAGACCATCCGAACTTGAATGGATTCCCGGTTATGTCGTTTCTGAACACTTATGACTCAGCATATATCAATAAAGTCGACTACTATCGAATTTGTTGGCAGGAACAATCAGCCTCTTGTATGAACAACTGAAGTTGGCGATGTTGGTAGTCAATACAGTACTCGTGTTCCTGCGAACCAGGTCCGGCGAAGACGGATCCAGCGAAGCCCGTCCTGCTGAGCCCTTTCAGTTGTCTTTCGGCTCTTTGTCCTGCTTTGCCCCTGAGAAGGTTGGAGCTAGGCCTTTACAATTCCTTACCTTGGCTCTAGAAGTATGTGCGGGAAAAGACCAGATCCCTTAGCTCACTGCTGTCGGTCATCATGGAACCACGCCATCACTCCCCATGGACGCTTCACTGACAAACTTCCCTCCTTCCAGATGAAGTTCTTAGCTGGACGGAATAGAAAGTGCGGTCTGTCAAATGGACGGTAATCTATCGACAGATAACAGTCTAATCATGGTAAGGGCAGCTTTTAATCTGCCCATGCAGTACCGTGGACAGGAATGCTATGGCATACAACTAGCCGAACTGGCGGCAACGGATTTGGTCGTCAAAAAGTTGGCGATTACATGGCATAGCCACTACAGTCACGTGGTCTAGTGCGCGGCCGTTCTTTGTGAATTACGGGGGCGCCGTGGCTAGTCCTTGCAGGCTGGTGGACCTCGCAAGCCAATATACGAGAATGAGCGTGTCTGTGCAGAACCTCGGAGACCAGCGGATCAAATGACAGAAAAAGAAGAACCTTGTGTTCATTGGTTCTCGATGCTCGGTCGGACTTAATTTCTTCTAACTAGGGTTCCCTTTCTCCAACATGGCTAGCCAGCCACTTATTTACAGCTATCTTGTCCGGTATGCATAATGGCCTTGATGCGTTGCCAAAGCGCCCCAGTCACAGACGAAAGAGCGCAGAATTTTTCGTGACAGATATCCTCAACAAGCACTCGAACAGAATAGACGTAACGCACTTTGTTACTACATGGACCACCGTTCCATGCAATGCGTTGATCTTTTTCTTCCTTGGGTGTTGGTCTGGGGTTTGGATTGGAGTCAGGTCTGCATGACCCTTCCGAGGCCTACGATCTACGTTCGTGGAATGATCTGGGCTGTGCTTTGCGGGACGTTCCTTGCCTTGTCCACTGGCTTTATTATGCCTAACCCATTTTGCAGTGAAGACACACGAGGCAAAGAAGGCCAGACTGTGCTGCTATAAGACCTTGATGTTTTGCTTCTTTGCAGCTTTGTTGTGGATATTTCGAAGTCAAGAGTGGCAAGTCTCTCGAGGGTAAGCCGCCGCAGCAAGGAAAAAGCGCAAGCATCGATAATCGGCCAGGTAACTCTGAGTTCTCCCAACATCGAGCATTGGAGATCAACCACTCCAAGCGGATCCCGTATCACAGGCAGTGCGGTCCAAGAACACTTTGATAACTCTTAAGGTTATTGTTCTGGGTGTCCGATGCAACCGCAAACTCGGCTGCACACTTCGCGCAACCAGCGGGGCGTGCTCGCGCGTCTGGTGCGACTCCAGGAAGTGGTCTTACCACTCATACCTGCTCGCATATGTACAGCGATCTCAGAACCCGCCTCGTCGCTTCGGCGGCGGGGGAGACCTAATGTTCGCGCTGCCGCATGCACAAGCGCGGAGCCAGTATGTGCACGCCCGTAAGTTTTACGCATCCCCGTTTTTCTTGACAGGGCTGACTTGGCTGCTTGCCGCAGTCACTGGTAGGCGAGTCGCTCGAGGACGTGATCGTGATCGTCGCTTTAGGGCAGACCGTAGCCGCGGGCGAGGTAGACGAAGCGGAGTGTCTATCTCACGTCTACATCTAACTTACCGCGATGAGTACGTTGAGTACTGACCGCAGGCTGGAAATGCGCTTCGGGCGCGCCCTGCGGGGCCCAACGCCGTTGTTGTCTCCATTCGCGCTCACTGAACGGATTATCGACCCCGACTTAGGTGGAGAGATCAGGGAATACCCGAGAAAAAAAAGACAGAAGACCTCGAGGGATTCGGAAGCACAATTGAGGTGCCATCTTCGAACACTTGGTGTGACACAAACTCAATCCTATGGCAGCGAGAATCCAGGACTTCGCTGCCCGTGTTGGCCCCTTACCACTTGCGCCCTGATTCGGGCCACTTCCCTCAGAGACATCAACCGAGAGCACGGACAAAAGCCAACCTAGCATGAGCATCCTGGGCAGTACCCCTAGCACGTTCAAGGCTACCCTCGAGCCACCCCAGAATACCGCTGATGTTTCCAAGACTGGCACCAAGCCCGATCCCCCCAAGGATGATGAGTCTGCCAGCTTGTCCGGCAACGGCGCCGCCAATAGGCACTTGGACGACACGCTCGACTGGTTGATCAGATATACATCCAGGCGGAGAAAGAAGGAATTGTCGATTCTTCCAACAATGGCGACTCGATATGCAGAAGAAAAAGGAACCTGGGACAAAGCATCGCGTCAAGAGAAAGGCATTTCGGAAGAAGTGCTTCAACGAAGCCGCCCAGCATACTACCACAAACTATCAGGCCACGAAACAAGACTTCCGGCCGATATTCAAATCGGTCCTGTTATTCATTACGACAAGTCTGAAAAGACCGAAGACGTTTTCCTCGACCGTCTCAGCTTGAAGCCCAAGTTGTTGGACACAGAAGACGAATGGAAATCTCAGATCATGAGTCCCCTTTGGTACACCAAAGAAGACGATACAGTATTTGTATATGACAAAGCGGACCTCAGCTTACAGACTTCAAATCCCTCCAACCAGATCAGAATCTAAATCTGAACTGCAACATCACCCTCGCAGAAACCATGATGAACCGTACCCCGCCCCAACTGCCAAATAAGTGCACAAATGGTCCAAGAAGTCAGCAAAGACTACTATACCCAAGAAAGCCAAGCCCGCCACACCAACAAAATCGTCAGCAGCAACTAAACCAACAAAGCCCTCCAAATCGTCTGAAGTGCCGCTCACGGCTAAACAAAAAAGGTGGGATTGGTATTACTATTTCTCTGACGCCTTTTTCTCCTTCTGTATTGCCGACCTTGGCTGGTTTCCGCATTTCCAACTTTCCGTGTTTCGGATCCTCTGAGCGCGCATATTCTTCACAGGGTTCGAATTCGCAATTCTTGTGTGGGAAGCCGTTACCAGTTAGTCCGCTAAGGGAACGTCACTTAATGCCTATATGAAGATAGCCATCAGTGAGGTTCCAGCATCATTGAGACCGATGATATCGGATGAGAAATTATTAGCAGCCGGATATACGCCGTTGCCGTTCACACTCGGCAACCCAGTAGTGAACGGCCTCCAGTGCACCTTTAGACATGGCATTCAACGCTGCTTCTCAGAGGGTTGCATCAAGGCCTCGATTCCGGGGGCGGGATTCGTGCGTCTTCCCACAATATGATGCATGTGGCTTACCAAGGGCTCGAGGAGAGGACGGCCGAATGAAATCAGGTAATCGAAAGCGCCCATCGTCAAATTACAAGCAGGGCGTCGATGAATGCTCGTTGCGCATCCATCCCTGAAAAAGAGGCAGAAAACGGTCTCCAGAAGTCTTATAGGTACCCGCGATGAAGGCCAGATGTTAATGGCCTCCTATTTCGGCCTCGCGAGGCAAACCACAAGATGCGAGCTCGGCGTGGCGGATGTCGATTGTTGAGTCCGAGTTTGCAGGGTGTCTGCTACACATCGTTCGTCAACCCGACACCGGCCAGTGTCGTGCTGGAGAGCTTGCCCTGGCATCGAGAGGGAAACCGCATGTTTCGGAATGAGACGTCTTTGGTTTTCGGTTGGGCGAATCCGCCAATCTCGTGGTCGTCTTTTATACGACATAGCGTCACTATACCCACGCGTGAAGTCGAATACGTCACGTGCAGAGAACCAGACTGATGATTCATGTGCTGGAAAATATGTGCCTTGGAAATGTCGAATTTCCATATTTCAACGGTGGTCGGTGTCGAGCACGGCAGACCATCTGCACCCCATCAGCCGGTAGAAGCAATCAGATTTTGTCTGCTTCAATACCTATTTTGTTTTTTCCGTTGTTCTCTGTTTTATCTTGCTTTTTCTTTGAACATTGTTTTGGCTTTCGTTCTTTGATGTCGTGGCAGGTGCGGAGAGCAAATGACTTTCGCAAGCAGAGCAATCTGGTCGTCTGCTCTGCTGATAATATGGCTTGAGCATGTGTTTAGGGACATGTTCGCAAGATTTGAACCACACTGTATGCAACATCCGATATGGTGTAGTGGCTAACATCGCCGTCTCTCACACGGCAGCCGGGGGTTCGATTCCCCCTATCGGAGCACATTCTCTTTTGCTGTATCGGTTCATGTTTTGCCTCTTCCCCCTCGGGCTTTGTCCTGGCTCATAGCGTCTTTTCAGACAGGCTCTTTTCATACAACATCCGATATGGTGTAGTGGCTAACATCGCCGTCTCTCAATTTGCCTGGTGCACGGCAGCCGGGGGTTCGATTCCCCCTATCGGAGTGTCTATCGAAGCCTTCGGGCTTGAGTTTTTGAGCGTTTGCTTTATTGCTGCTCTTTTGTTGTGCGTGGGGATTGAATATTTGCCACGGTCTACGGGCTGGGTGCTGGGCGCTATGCTGCATGATTGTCTTGTCCAGTTGTAGTTCCCTTTCTGGGGGTTGAAATATATGCTCGATTCTAGCATCCATGTCGGAGGTGCAAGGGTGCCGGGTGATTGGGAGCCTACAGTGGAAATAATGAAGGAGGAGGGAGCAGGGGAAGCTATTGGTGTAGCGCGGTGATGATACTGACTTGTCTTAAATGTCAAGAGGTAGGTGACAATTTGACTAGGACGGTTCGGGACAAGCGGGTAGCAGCAGCAGGATGATGTTGAAGAGTATATTGTGCTATGATGGCTGGCAAACACGTTGATCTGGATTCAATTTGTGCAATACTTCCCAGGCGTGGGACATACAGATATGACATGCACTTCTTCACTATTTATTCGTAGATTGTTTGCAATTTGACGTGCTTAGTATCAATTGTTTGAGTCTCGTTGTTTCTACGCGGAGGGACCAACCGGTAGTAGCCGTATATATATCTTATCCCATGCCGGCTTCGGGATATCCAAGGTCTGCCTTTGTAGTCCTCTCTCGGCCTCCGATGGGATAAAAGGCAAAGTTGACTTGGGAGACAAGGAAAAGGGAAGCTGCAATGCTTGCAGATATCAGCTAAAAGTAGGTAAATATTGTATGTCTGTTATCCAGGCTTCTGCCCGCCGCACGTTGCACCCTAGCTCGGTTGGCTCCCGAGCGAAAAATACAGACAAAAATATCAAAGGAGATACGCTCCGATAGGGGGAATCGAACCCCCGGCTGCCGTGTGAGAGACGGCGATGTTAGCCACTACACCATATCGGATGTTGTTGCAGGACGGTCAATTCTAATAACACAGGTACTAAAAGTTAGGCATGACGCAGGAGGCTATCTCATAACCCTAAGCCCGGTCACGGGTTGCTCCCGTTCTTTCCGGAATGGGCAAAGCTGTCTGTTTGGTAAACAGATATCCTGTGGATTGCAACGCTATAACCATATAGACTGGTAGCCCAGAGCTCCCTCCCCACCGGCTCATTATCTCCTATGGTGGCTGACATAAACCAAACGGACAGAACATCCTAAAGCAAAAACAAAACCCGCATAAGACTGATCTGGGTACCACCTTGCGAATTCAATACGGATAGTGGTCCCGGTCTGACGAGTAGCTCGGATCTCTTGGCAGCCCTACACGGGGGCCCCACCCAGCCGTTTCGGGATGCAGTTTGCGAGTGCCAGCAGTGTGCGCTTCCGATATCTCGGCTCTGGTTTCCTTTGAATCCCTGGCTAGGTCGCGAGTTGGGCACTGACCAGATAGACAGAAATGGAAACTTTTATCACCGGTTTCGAATGGCAAGGTGCGTGGGGTTGACTCGGTGAACTCGTACGTCTACTCATGTGGCAGAGGCTTTAGGGAGCCTGGAATAAATATTTATCGCGCTACACATTCCACTTCAATTACAGCGCGTTGAGTGTAGATTTGGCAAGCTAAGGATCCATTCCCAGTGCATCTGTCGACGAGAGAAGCTCTTAATTTTGCTTGAGTAACATCATGAACTTTTTATTAGAACCATAAACATAACTACCTGCATTAAAGGATACCGGGCACATCATAAGTCATCCCCATACAAACGACTAGAGCAGAAAATCAACCCAGTCTACCATCCGAAAGCCTCCTCGAAGTACTCCACCTGGCGGAATCCTCCCTTCATCACCCCATAAACCGCCATCCGGCACTCATCCGCCATCACTGCGGGACCACACGTCAACACCGCCAAGCGAGACACACTGGCTCGGGCCTCCTCCGCGACCGACTGCACCGTAGCCGTAATGTCCGGGCGCCCGTAGCGCACCTCCAGACCGAGATCCTCCACCTTCATGGGTCGGGACTCCTGACTGGAGGAATCCTGCACGAACTGGCCGGCCTCCTTGGCCTCTGCACCCACCGCACCGATCTGAGGGACTTCAGCGCTGGACTTCTCGCCGGCGACAATAGTCGTCATCGCACCCATGCTGCTCTTGTCCGTGCAATATAGCGTAGTGTGGATATCCGCGCACTCCAGCGCTGTGATTAGATCCGCGCAGCAGACTTCATCGAACATCTGTCTCTGACGGCCGGACCAGACGAGGTGGATCCTTGTGGTGCGGGTCTTGCCTCCGGCTGCGAGACGAGAAACGTGGTCGAGAATGTAGGGAACTGCCGCGGCTATACCGGTGCCTCCGACAATCAGAAGAAGGGTATCGAACGTGTGCAGCGGGACTTGGTGGCCGTAGGGGCCTTCTAAGAGCAACCGAGGCGCGATGGTCAAGTCCTTACCCCCGGACTTCTGGCACTGGTCGCGGAGACGCCGGGTCCAGCCGTCGTAAGGACGGATGTAGAAGATGAGTTTCGCCTCAGTACCAGATGTGTTGTAGCAGCCCAGAGTGAAGGGGTGGTTCTCCCAGCCGCGTAGTGTCAAGGGCTGGTAGAGGTAGTAGTGCTGACCAGGGGCGAGGGTGAGGCTGTGGGCGGCGGGGGTCATTTCGATGCGGATCAGATCGCTGGCCGGGCTGTAGGACACAGTGGAGGAAGTGGTGTTGATGAAGCCTTTGCCGAAGCGGACGTTCCAGTTGCAGTAGATCACACGGAGGTAGCGCACAGTGCGGTCAAAGCCCCAGATGGCGACCATCGGCCAAAGGTAGCCGTTGTAGACGGTGCCGTCAAAGCTGGTGTGGCTGGTCGCTCTTAGTCACGAGGTCATGCTGTTATCCGGGAAGACTTACCGGAATAGAGTGTATATGGTTAGGATTGCTAGGACAACGTGGATGATCAAGAAGGTCTCGTAAAACCTCTGACGAAGCCATGTGCCGGATTGGAAGAGCATAACAGACATCACCACTGTAGCCTGGGATATGTTAGCGGCGTTCTAGAAGACTTGTGCTTACAATGATTACATACCACAATACCCATGTAGAAGTAATTCTGCTTTAGTGCACTGTGATATCTACCGTCTGATACGCCAGCCTGTTAGCATGATATTAATGAGCATTGAGGAGTACCAACCGTAGACCTGAAAAACCACAGTGTAGTTGATTGAATGAACAATAGCCAGAAGAGTGCAAGCCCAAGCCACATGACGGTGGAAGATGTTGAAAGACTGGACATTGAAGTCTGTTGCCCAAAGGAAGATGTTGTTTCGTCCACCGAAAAGCCAAAGAAATGGAAGACAGGCATAAGACAGAATTCCCGTACGATCAGAAGAGTATTGCCAGTTCTGTTGGTAGAGACTCGGCGTCCTATTTGCTCGTCAGACCCAATTCTGCTAATCTGTGATAGTAACGTACTGGATATTCCCGCGGAAACTCTGGTAGTCAACACACGACAGAATGATACACACGGCCCACCAGCCAAAGATGATCAGAAGATCTAGCCGTTTCGGGATGGTGTGAAACCAGAAGAGCTGCTGGTGATTGGACAGGCTCGGGGCAAAGCTGGCAGGAATGACAAAGTGAGTCCCGACGAAGTGAGTAACAGCAGCCACTGGCGCGCAAGAGTTACGGCCAGCCGCATAGAAGCCACTCTTCTCAGAATCGCCGCGTCCGGGGCCATTGAGGTGGGCTCGGAAGGATTTCCAGGCCTTGACGATCATGCCAAGAGCCAGTATTCCACCCCAATAGCCCATAAGACCCCAGCCATAACGTTTGTCTTTGCTCAGTGCGTAATCGTGGGTGACCTATCATTTCCCAGTCAATGAAAAATCCAGGGATTCTTCAAGAAACACATACATAAGATTTATAAGCTCGCTTGTAGTACGAGTGGCTAAGCAGGACTGGACTCTCAATAGTGCCGGTTGTCGTCGTACTATTGGTTTCAGGGTCGATGGTTGGCAAAGATGCGATGTAAGAATCGGTGGCATTGGCAACGATATCAGTCAGATCAATCAAAGTAGCACTGTTCTGCTCACAGAGGCTTTGCCAGTAAGGAATGGTGGCTTCCAATTGCTTCTTGTTACACCACGCCTTCGCACTGGCATACAAGGACATGGCACCTACTGTGCTCGTGCAGCCTCCAGTAGAAGAGCTACCGTGATGACCACGTCGAGCCATCCTCTTTGCGAATGCCCGTTTTGAGGAGGAGCCATGTGGTGTTGTGACGACGGTACCTGAAGAGGAGGAGGAGGAGGAGGAGGAGGAGTAGGAGGAACCATGCGAGGTTGAACCGCTTGCTGAACTGTTGGAACTAGAAGAGCCCTCAGAAGTCGACGTATCGGTTGAGCTTGAGCTGGTTGTAGTAGCACCTGCATACGTGTACGAGCCAAGAGACTCGTATATGGCATAGAAGCAGTAGTCTGCAAGCTCAGGGGCAGACATAGTAAACCCTCCTGCCAGGACGGGGACACCCGTCCAGGCTAAGATCAGGAGAAGTGTACTCGTTACTCTCATTTTGCCGGCTGATGGACAAGATACTCCCGAGATCAGCGTAGTCCGGGTGTCAAGTCAATCTTTATATCGCACAGAACCCTCATATTGGACCTACCCACTTCCTCGCAATGAGGGTCCTATTCGAGCACGCTCATTACACAGGCGTGGCGGAACCCACCGGAGAGAATCGAGCTAATCTCCAGCGAACCAGTTATCAATCTCCACTTGATCATTGCACGATGCCTCCTTGGCTCGGAGCATCTAGACTGATGCATTTAGTTCAGCATATAGATTCGCAGTCATCGGACTTGTGGACTCCAGTGCGATATGTGTAGCGCCGTTGAAGGCATCTTTTGGGACATATAGCCGACGAAAGAGAACCACAAGTCAATAGTCAATAGTGGCGGCCTCTTTCCCGCCAACTTCGTATTTAGCCCGGTTGTTGCATGCAGAAATTTCATTTTCTGACAACATCTCCCTGACGGGGCGAAAAGCATAGAAAGTTCTGTCTTGTCCAAGACGAAAAACCCCGAAGACCCACAAGTGCCACACTGTGGAAGCAAGGTCTGATTGATAATTCGGAGCGTGGAACGATTGATCAATCTGATAAGATCCACTTAGCATGCGATCAAGCACCGTATAACTGGCTAGAAAGACCCTTGGGCCGACGTATACAAGGTCTTGGCAGTGGTGACCCAATCTAACCCCGAGTTTCTTGGCGGCCCACTTCCGTCGGTTGCTTGATTTTTTTTCGGGCCCCATCCTCGCAAGCTACGTCCCTTTCGGGAGATGTGCACGCATTTTCAGGCAACGACCTCAAGTATTCATCAGACGACTGATGAAGTGGCTCGGGTGTTCTTGGCATCGCTTGCATCGTGAGTCATGGTTTGCACGGAGGCTTTCTTTGGATGCCGGTTTTCGGCAAATGTCCCCTACTAGGAAGGTCAGTTAAGTGAGCATCAAGGAATGCACGGCGGAGAAATAGATTCCTGCAGACAGTAGTGAATGCGAGATTAAGATACACCTTCACTATGCTACTCCCAGCGTTGAAGCGAAGTAAGGAAAGACGAAACTTACTATTTTACAATAAGAGTCTTTCCCGTGGGTCGCTTTCAACAAAGCACAGTTGATGCTTCACCGGTACCATTTCACGAGCGGAGCTTCCGTAAAATGATGGTTTTCGACCTCGGAAGCCAGACCCTTCATTCCGATGCTCAATTCATTGTAATTTGTGAGATGTCCCACACTTCACAGCATAGCACTTCCGCGCAGACGAGCTCTCATGACCCGGAGCCAAGCATTTTTGATGAACTTCTCTCCCCGAATTTGTGTCAATCAGACCTTGGAGCTTACCCACTGTTTGTTGCCGTGGCAAGTCCGGTACTGAGAGAATCAATTCCACGTTTGCGGAGGAGGTAAATGTGCCACTGAATGAGAGCGAAGAACGGAGCCTTCTCATAAAACTCCACTGGGGCAGACAAATTTAAGAAGGAGGTTCTTAGGAACGAAAGAAATGGTCTGCCCTATGAATAACATTCTCGTGGTTGATATAAGCCTGGCACATACAGCAGGGTTGTCCTACAACTCTTATAGATTGTCATCATTGGCGGTTTTCTTTTCGTATGTCACAGAGGAGGTAGCTATTGTGGCAGTGATCGATAAAGCCGGCTAGCTGTGTCATGGGTGACTTAAATGAAGCTGTCGAAGTGGCTAGAAAAGAGGTGGTTGATGGTAATCCCTTCGTAGGCTATTACGTGGGATGTCAGCGAACTTGCGTATAATTTGGAATGTTGGTACTCGCAGAGAAAGGCCTTGAAGAACCATAAAATGTGAATGGAATCACGGCGGATGCAAGACGGAAAATCATGGTATCGCAATCTTGCTTTTGCGAGCAGGTGGTGACAGATCGGATGACGCGTCAACAAAGATGATGAGCAGGAGTGGTGTGCCTGGGCGCCTGATCAACTCTCCAGGCAGTCGGCCTTGATTTCCTGATCAGGTAATGTCCATGCATGCATTGCGTGTCTGCCATCGACTCCCTTATCTCAGATAAAGGCACATCTTTCCAGCCAGATGTGCTGCATTGATCAATACAGTCCACTCTTCTCACAGATTAAAAAATGCATCGGTCGTGCATTCTCGCCTTGATCTCCGCCATAGGAGCTGCCACCTCTCCTCTTGCCGCTGACAGCGTTCCCCCCGAACCTGTCCAGAATGCGAACCACATCTTCAACGCCATCCACTCGTCCATGAGACAATGGGGCTCGGCACTCAACCACAACGGCATGTCATTTTTCCTGGCAGAAATGCCACAGGGAATCAAGCTCTACCACGGTGACGGCCATCCAGAGCACATCACCGGAGTCCGATGGCTGGCCTTCGACCCCGAGCATGCATTTGCCTTCGCGCGATCAGGACCGAAGCGACCCGAGACACCTCCGAAACTGTCATCTGGCTCCCAGCAAGTGATGGGCGGAGACCAAGATGGACCAGCCGGGGAAGACAATGGCGGATGGCTCCACACCTACACTACGGCCAAGAATCTTCGCCTCATTCTTATCGATGGAATGTCAGCTGGCAAATCCAAGATTGGGACTCTCGACCTGCAGGACCGGGTGCTGTTTGCAGATGAGATCAACGGTGGCGTCTTGCAGGAGAATGCGCGTGCAGAGGCCGTGTGTCGAATTGCAAGGGAAGAGTGGCATGATCGGGTGGATGGGGTTATTCGGCTGGCTTCGGGGTTCGAGGTGATTCTCTGCAACTCAGAACAGAACCTGGAGCCTGTTCATGTGGCGAGAGTGAGGTCTTCTAGTCCGAGGAAAGGGGACAATGAGAAGAAGGGAGGGAAACCGACCGAGGTCCTCCAAGTGATGAGGACCAGGTACAATGGCATCGGCGGTGAGCGGGTGGTCTTGAACTACGATCATTTCGTTACGGCTTACAACCATTCCCTGAATCTTTTTCCGGACGACAGCACCGTCCCACGTCTTAACCACCTTCCATTTGCAGAGTTGAAACCCATCCGCAAGAGCCTCACATCCCTCGTAATGGCGCATGATGTCGGACACAGACAGGTAGCCTGGCAAGCGATCACTGATATGATTGTCCAGAAGTACAGCCACCCGCTGCGTGAGCTGGCTTCAAGACACCACCACCACCATCACGGCTTGTTCTCTCTGGTTGCAGAGGTTGCACGCATTTGGAATACATTCGTCGATCAGGACAACAGAGATGTTGACGAAGAAATGGAGAGATGCGCAACTCAGTTCATCCCTACCAATGCTGCTGATGACTCGCTTGCTTATCGTGCGGTTTATGCTGTTAGCAGTCGAATCTGCGCTTCGTTGGTCGAAGTCCTGGAGGCGAAAGAATATGATTTCGCGGTTGATGTCTTGCAATCACTGATGGACTATTTGAGCTGGGCAGTGTGGAAGGAGTGCCACGGCTGCCATGACGATGAGTTTTGTCAAATCCCGATCTGGCCTCAGGGATCGTGGGACGACTTTGAGCACCCGCGTTGTCGGAAATTTGAATCAGCGTACCAGGGTCCCAATGATTTCTGGGGACCCGTGTGGAGATGAGAGGACTTGCTTACATTTGAAAATCGAGTATAGGTGCAGTTGGCTGAACGTGCCACCAAGCTGCAATTTATGTTGGACATTTGACGCATTTACTGTGGTTTTAACCCATTTATGATTGACTTTATAACTCAAATTAAGTATAATGTCAAACGTGGGATGAAGCATCGTCTAAATGAACAACCCCTCCAATCATGCATGCACGTCCGGCAGTCCCGTAACATAGAACAACACAGCCTCGGGCCCCTTCATAAAATACTTCCCCTCTCCCATCCCACCCCACTCTCTCCACAACACATACCACTACTAAAGTACAACAACGACAACCACAATCGCACCTCAAACCTCTCCAAACCCAAACCTCTCCACCCCCAAGCACTACCTACTACCACTCACGCACCCCCCAACCATGCCCGCCGTTCTCCCACCAAACTACACCCTCCACCAGGGCTACCCCCGCCGTCGAATCCTACCTCCACCTCCGCCACACCAAGAAATACCCGAAACCACCAACCGCCCAACAAGCCGAATCCGCCCTCCGGGGAAGCTGGTACGGCTGCTACATCACCTACACGGCACCAGCTCTATCTTCCACCCCCGACAACCCCACCACCACCAACCCGGAAACGCAAAAAACCGGCGAAGTGGTCGCCATGGCCCGCCTCATCAGCGACGGAATCTGCACCTTCCACCTGACGGACCTGCTCGTCGCCGCGGACCACAAGTACAAGAAGCTGGGGAACGTGGTCGTGGCGCATCTCCGGGGGAAGATACGCGAGTATGTGGTCGGCTTGGGGATGGGCGAAAAAGATAAAGAAGGAAAGGAGGAGGAGGAGGAGGAGGAGGCTGCCCTTCGGAGCACGGAGGTCACGATGCTGGTGCATGCGTGGCCGGAGGAGCACGAGATCTATTATGCGGAGGGGTTTGTGGAGGCGTGGCCGCCGTCGAGGGGGATGGTGTTGGATTGGAGGCAGATTCGTGATCTTGATTTTGATGAATGATTTGGGCATGGATGGGGTGGCTGTGGGTGAGCTGGGATTGATTGGAGAGCTAATGTGGGTGACACGGGGTTGAGTCTATGTGATCGATGAATTTATGGCGATGGGACAGATCCAGACTCCAATTGCTACTTAATCCGAGTTAAAAAGATGAAGCGGGCGTAATGTAATGGTCATTGCTGTAAAATTGACATCCTCAGGCATCAAGCCGGCACTAATACTCATCCGACTCATCGCCATCATCCTCCTCCTCCCCCTCCTCCACATCCCCCTCAAACTCCTCCCACTCATCATCATCCAAATCATCGAAATCATCATACCCGGGAAATCCGGCCTCATCCTCATCATCCGACCCGACCAACATCTGCACATACATCTCCTGCAACAACTCGCGGAACGCCTGCTCATGGCCCTCGGCCAGCGCCAGCCGCTCGCGCAGCACCTTCTTAGGCTCCCACTTAGTGGGATCCATGAGCTCCTCCTCGGTCTCGAACAGCGTATCGGCCAGGGTATTGGCAAAGAAGCCCATGAGCAGCGTGCTGACGCCCAAGACATACTCCGTCGAGCAGCTCCAGCCGGACTCGTCGCGGGCCAAGCGCGTCGCCAACCCGGCCACGTCCTTCGTGCGCAGCAACTCCCCGAAGTCGCTCTCGGGGAGACCCTGGATCGCTCCCTCGGCGCCCTCAGCCGCGTAGCGGATCAGCGCGCGCGTCTCGTCCCAGTCGACCGTGTGGCGGTCGCAGAGCAGCATCAATAGGATCGAGGTCGGGCACTCATTGTGCCGGGTCTCGCCGGCCAGAACACCGTGGAATGCGGCGGCCTCGGCCTCCAGCCGGCCGTGGAAGGGCGTCCAGAAGGCCGTGTGCCACGGGTCCGCGGCGGTCGAGGACGGGTGCTTGGCGGCTTCCTCCTGGATCCCCGTGGGCAGGTACTTCTGGTACCGCGTGACGGCCCAGACGCTGTAGAGGTTGTCGAGCTCCTCGCCGAGCTTGACCTTGGTGGCGAGGTCGAAGGAGAGGTTGACGGGGGCGGCGGGGCTGCTGAGACTGCCGCCGGTGGGCTCGAGCGACTGCTCGTACTGCATCATGCGCATCGCGGCGTTGACGTTGCCCGGTTCCTCGAGGAGCGTCTCGCATGCTTGCTGGTAGGTGTGCAGCAGCTCGGCTTGCTCGGCGGACAGCTGCAGGCCTGGGTGGTGCTCTAGGGCCTCGGCGTAGCTGAGGCGCTCCTTCAGGCCTTTCTTGTTGGTCGTGGAGAGCTCCTTGTAGGGCGTCGGAGGGGCGAGGTAGCGAAGCGGATTCATCTTGTTTTTTTACCTTTCGGTGCGCTTATTCTTTTGTGGTGTGTTGATGATCCCCTACGGTGGCTGTAACTTATGGCGGTAAGAAAAGAATCTGTCGGGTTGCGCGCGCACGGGCCAGGGTCCACTGTTTTCAGGAACGGGTACGGGTACGGTACCGGTGGGTCGGGGCTGCAAAGCTTAAGGGCTGGACCGGACATTTGCAAAGCATCGCAATTAACAATTTACAGTAGACCGGTGTATTATGGTTCAAAGAAATGGAAGACACATTCATTCTTGGTACTATGGCAGAAATTAACAACATTCTGGTGCGGCTTGTCTGACTCAGTACATGTACACGGGCATCGCCCGAGTCAGAATACTTCCCAGACCTAGACAATCGCTAGATCACTCTCGCCACCTGAAGCGTTCTTCGCGCAGGAGTGCATTGATTGTGTTCAGATGCCCGAGCAATTCTGGGAATTCATCACACATACTCGGATCAAGGATAAATTGCCTCAATTCCTCTTCTTCCGATCCGAAACATCCTCGATCAACCGACGCACATGTGCACTTAACCCAGGCCCTTCTTTCCATGGCGGGATCACCGGGATTGTGGGATCGATTCCCAGAATGGTCTTCAGGCTGCTGAGACGCTGCTCTCTCTCCAATGATCTCAAGGATTCCACCTGCTTGTCGAAATTCTCGTTCTGGTTTTTCTCATATGCGTTGATCCGGAGATGCTCCAACCTGGGCGGCAACCGATCAGCAAGCTGGTATTCATCGTCTCTCGCGTTCCCCACCCCCCTCGCCATGTACAACAGGTACTGAATCTCCAGATACAAGTGCTTCAAGGCGGAGAAGTCGGCCAAAGAACCGGCTTGGTCCCAAATCCAGATCGGCAGCTTCACTTGCCCATCGATCAAAGCCATCTCATGCGCAATTCGGATTGCTCCCATTTGTCCGTGTTTCTCGAAATCCTCACTTAGGCCAAGAAGAATCCGTTCTACCGTATCTGTATTAAGATCTATGTATGCGGCATCTATATGTAGAAGCTCCAAGGTTGTACGGTGGACCAAAAGCGCTTGGAAGACGATTCGAAATGCGGTCAATGTACCTCTAAGGTCGCGACCGACTAACTCGGCCCCGATGGAGCATCCAAACTCTCGGAGCTGCTTGCAAAACAGATGATTCTTGCCAAGTCCATGCTGTCGACCGTCGTGTGCTCGATCCGGATACGGGTAATATTGGACGAGGCAAAGGGGACCCCGTGATTACCGACGACGTTTGTTCTCAGCCCATCCATGCCAATCGACTCAATCGATGGAAGACGGCGAAAGAGATTTATGAAGTCAAAGACGTCCGTCTCAAGAATGGCTTCATCTTCTATCCAGGATGTGTCGCACGTCTCGTCGATAAAGTATACGTCGCGAAGCTTTCTCAGGAGCTTCGGCCCTCGGGCACCCGGGAACGTGTACCTGTTGTTGATTTGGTGCAGAAGCCAATGCAAAGGGAGCCTTATACGCTTGTGGTTGACGGAGTCTGTCTGCCAGGGCACGAAAATCTGGCTGGGAAAGGGCTGGGAGAGGGCCATGGATTCTACCTCCGGTGCCACGGAGATAAGAAGTGCTGTCAGAACCTGCGCGAGAAGGGGCTCGTGGCAACGAAAAAGCCTAGATTGGGTTTGGGGGTAAGCACTGAAATGATTGCAGCTCAAGGGAGGGGGCCGGCTGACCTGGCTGGATGATTGGCTGGATGTCTGACTAGATGAAACTCCTCTTTTTCCCTGCGATGGGTGACACCGGAGATCTGCTTAACTATCGTGATCAGGGGTTCAATCCCACGGTCAGGGAATCCTGCTCTGTAGATTGCAGCTCGGATCATTTCCATGTTTTCCTCAGCTGGTGATGACGCATCGAATTCACAGGAGGGTGGGTGCCGGTAGGTCATCGTCACAGTCTCCCAGTACTCAATATGACGCGCATAGCGGCCTAGAGATGGCTGTTTCAGGATGTCGATCAGGGCCGCGAAGGCGCTCTCAAGATGCTTGGAATTGTTTGTAATGCGGATCTGGCGGAACCTCTCACGGGCCCTCATATCACACGCCTGGTAGAGATGGGAAGACTGTGCAGCCAACACCGCAATGTCATCGTAGGACTGTAGAAAAGAGATAATATGGAGTATGATCTCGGTCGGGAGATTCGTGAGTTGACCCATCTTTGGCAGCGTGATCAGCCTGAGCGTGTGTATGCCCTTATTAATGGAAATAGAAATCCCCCCTGCATGAACGATCGAACGATCGAACAGATTTTGTTATTGTTTTTGCGTTCTCAGAAGCCCACAGTACGAGCACAAATTCTCACGGAAACGCACTGTCCCAGGCAACCATCTGCGGGACAGTTGATATCAAGACCCTGCAGCACGGGTCGTCTGTCTCGTGAAGAACAGCGTTAACAAGTGATAGGAGATGCAGTAGTGATCAAACTGCTGTGGTGGTAGCTGGGCATGCACGATCAGAATGTATTGCTTGATATGTAGGTAGGAAAGAGTGCAAGGTTGTAAGAAGTATGGTCACAGTGAAAGAGAAAGAAGTCAAAGGAGACAACTCTTTCTGTGCGATATGGATCATAACAGGAGTCTCTTATTACCGAAAAGGGGCAAGCGCCTTCTCCCGTCTAACACTCCCAAAGCTTCGCTCACATTTCCTCTGCCTAGTGACTTCTGCAATTTACACAAAGGGCAAACCAGAAGCCTGACATGGCAGATCTGTCAGCAAGATAAGAGCCAAGAGTTATGACAACATGTATCCTTGAGCCACCCTTGCAAAGAAGTTAAAAACATGAAGACATAGAGCGTCGATCGGTTCCCAACAATTGCTTCTCACTCAAAGGCTGGGTCGCAGGACTGCTACATCAGGAAGATGCTTCGCAGATGGCATCTCGCAACATCGCTGCCCTACCCATCGATCCGGAAGGGAATCGAAGAATTCCAACAGCCACCATCCAGCCAATCCCCAGTGACATTCCGAACAGGAACATCTTTGCCAAACTCAAGGATAACGCCCCCTCCAGGCGCACTGCCATTGAACGCAGTCCATCCTACAGTGGTGTTGATTGTCGAGGCATCTTTGAGGTATGCTAGGAAGAAATCCTGCATCGTCTCCGAGGTTTTGACCTCGAGCTCGGTGATATTGCCGACATCCAGCATATAGGTGCCGAATATCATGAGGAGATCAGTCCAGTGAAAGGCGCCGAGCCAGGGGACTGGGCTGATGTTACTGAAGTTTCCTGCGAGAAGACAATTGTTAGCCCCAGACCATTTACCTAGGGTGACGAACGTCTACTTGCCGGCCCAATAATATCGGTAGGTGTCAAGGCCGATGGACGCGCGAAGCTCCGAGTCAGAACGTGCAAGACAGTCGGACAATCCTTCTTCTTCGGCAACGTATGTACTGTTCTGATCCGGAAACTCCCTGGCGGCGTCAGATCGAATCGACGGTCCCGGAGCAACCTTCCTCTGAGAATATCGCTCGGTCTCATTCGAGAAGATGTATCTTTCATCGGCTAGATTGCAGGATTAGCCCGACAGTCGAAGGCTGAGGGAGCTAAACTCACGAATATAGTTAGTAAAAGCAATCGAAGGCGTAGCGTTGTAGCGGTTAATGTATTCCTCAATCTGCACCCAGGAAACCTGTCGCATACACTCAAGCTCGGCTTCGTAGTCGTCTCCATAATTACATCCAAGTCCCTTGGCAACAATGTCAAAATCTTGATAAACATCACCGGCCGTTGCCAGGTCCAGGGTGGCCGATGCACCTTGCGAGATCACTCCGAACTTGGCAGCGAGAGGGTCGTCGGGGAACGCAAGAGTATACAGATGCGTCAAGATACCTCCTTGCGATTGACCCCACAGCTAGTTGCCCAATCAGAGATTAGATATAGTAGAGGATAATCCTGAAAATCGTACCATTATGTTTTCAGCATCTCCTCCAAAAGATTCGATATTCTCGTAGGCCCATTCGACTGCAGCTCTGACATCTAGCAGGGTCAAAGAGGTCTCATTCAATGCCCGGGATTTGGGATCTGCAAACAAGGTCAGTCCAATGTCTCTCTTGGTAGTAAGGTCAACCCACTCCCGAAGATATTCGATCGATAATTGATGGTAATAACAATGTGCTCCTGAGATCGCGAGACCCAATGTGCCGGCAGCTGAGAGGGAATATCAATTCCACCTGTGATACCGCCGCCACCTGTTACGAACAACGCCACCGGGAGTTTAGAGGTGCGAATTGCTGAAGCAGGCGTCCAGATAGCCATTGATAAACAATCTTCGGCCGACGACCAGGCAGTGGAGCCTTGATCCAATTTCTCGCCGATGTTGAGCAGCACATTGGGTGGCTCGTAGGTATTCCAGAAACTGGCTGGCGCAGTCACGTACTGAGGACAAGCTGTCAAGGATGTGAGTAGACGCCGAGGAACAAATTTTAAGGGTACCGTAGGTAGTTACCTGGGCCATAAAAGGTAGAATCGATCCGCTTCTTGGACCTTTGCGGCTTTTGCGGAGGCATCCAACGTAGATCCCCAACGGGAGGCTAAGAAGACAAGATCAACATGCGGTATGAGAATCGTCCGAGAAAAGCTTGAATGTACCTGCGCATATGGAACTCGAAGGAATTGTCGAACATTGGGGTAGGTATCATTGAGCATGCCAATGAAAGTTCCAGTGTGCGTCTCGACAGTCAAGTTCGACCAGTTCGACAAGGTGCGTGGGGCTTCCCATGTGAAATTCGCATAGTAAGGGTCTTCTGCACTGGCTGATACCAGAGTGGCCAAGCTCAGAAGACTAAGACTAGAATACCTCATGACGCTGAGAAAGATCTATGGCAATACGATTTATGCAAATGAGACTCCGTAGCATACAACGACAGGGGAAAAAACACGGAAGTAGGGCCCATTTTTATAGGCCTACCCCATGACATAGCGGCCCTAAGCTCAACTCCATTGTAGACGAATCCTTGTTTTGAACGCAGTATACAAGGGATCTTGCGGGATGGCACCACTTTTGCCTGCAATGTGGGGTTGCAAAAGGCGGGGAAATCTTGCGGAGACCATCCACCTTGTCCATGAACGGCAATCATAGCCGGTTTCCGCTGTAGACCCGGACGAAGAGACTTGAAACAGTAAACTTCACGACGAATGGTTGCTTGAAGGCCGGATTATCCCGCGGTGTCATAAAAGCATGGTCCCCTGCTCGGATCATCGGATGATGAGGGAAAAGATAATATCCGGATCATTGAACAGCTCAAGCTTTTCTTGGGCATGATTGACATACGGGCCGCCGAGGTCGGTTCAAGAAGCCTAAATGGGCTGATTAAAAAAAGGCTCCCTTGCAAAAGCTGGTACACTTTTCTAATGCGGTGACCGTTCTGCTAGGGATGATGCGCACTTCTAGTGTCACAAAGGCTTCATGTCTCTCAAACAGTCATCTCAACAACATCGGCAACGGTAGCCTAAGCAGCTGGAACAAGAGATAGCCCTTCAACATACAAGGCTCTTATTGGGTAATGCACATTCGTGATGGACACCATCCACTAGATGCTGATCGCGCAGCATGATTCAGGTTCCTTTGCCCAACCCAGGCCTTTTCAGGTCAAGTTTGCCCAGCAAAGCTACGCCAGCCGCCAGGGAATCCGACTTGATGGGAAGGACTTTCGATCGAATCTTTCGTGCGCAGAAAAATAGTAGTATGCTATGCCTTGAACCATTTAGATTAGCTTCCTATCTTTATCAAGATTCCGAGAATGGCTACCTCTACGAGGAGTCGCATTTGTGACTGGCAAGGCAGTGGACGGGCGACCAAACCTATTCCCTCCAACTGCATACAGGCCAGAGAACCTTTTTTCGATACTCCCAACTCACAAACTCGTGTCTCGAGAACACCCATGAAGCTCTAGACGTAATCATTACCAGAAGTAGGCAGTATTGTTCATCAAATTGACTACTGCTTTGAAGAAAAAGCATTGCAGTCTTGAAGGATGGTGAAACCCAGAGATCCCTGCGTTCATCAAACAACTAGTATGAAATAGGCCATGAGATCTTTGTGCAAACAACCCAAACATTGTGAAGAGCAGGCAACTTAGGATACTGCAAGGTATTGCCTATTGATCTGGACTGGTAGATGCTTGGGTGCTTAATGCCTTAGTGCTCATTCCTCCTATGTCGATATTCAGTTATGCATTTAACTGAGTTGTGAAAAATACGCATCTTCCTTTTCCTGTTTGTACAATCAAAAATGAAGCGCAAAGAGCCCGAGTGTCGCCCACAATAAAAACTTCTAGACAGTTTCAGACCAAGTTTTACCTGTTGAGGGGACCTATATTGTGACAAAATACGTCTCCACTCTTGCATGACACTGATCAAGATGTCAGTCGCCTAGCTAATCTGTGTTATCATAGACGATGAGAACAGATCTGATCAGGACAGAAGGTAAGGTTGAAGTCCAGCTCAGAGAGATCCGTAGTGAAAGATGATCTTTTAAGTGAATATGTCAGATGGCCCTGTAGAAGTAACACAGAATGAATCACTGTCACTTCAGCAACTCGGTCACTGAATCAATATCATTGCCTCCGTACTCAGTAACTGCCTGTCTCTCGCTCCTCCAATACTTCCTGCCTTGACAATGACACTCTACAACGTCTCTCAAGATCAGTATCACTCATACGAAGCTGGACTTTGACACGATTGCTCACAATATCCTGGTTGAAGATCTCACGCACACCCTCGCAGGTTGCTTTAACCGAGGGGTGGGAAAAACACGTTACGAAGATCAAAGTACGTATCCTTCATGGCGCGATTGAAGATGCATACGCTAACCGATCATGTCTCTAGACAAGCAAAAGGGCCACAGTCAAGCGTTCCCAAACCCCGTATCTCACACGCCAAGCGGAGACTCCGTCCGATATTCCTCACAAAACCCGCGCACTTCGCTCCGTCTAGTCAGACTGTCCGAGAATGGAGGACCTGACCAAGGGCTACAGAAGTGACTTTTCCGGGCTGCGCCCTTTTGAAAGAGCGGCGGCAGTCAGAAAGGTCCAGGGCGAGATCCTCGCTGGACTCCCGCTCAACACCCTCTACGTCGTGCTCTACGTTCGCGCCGACCCTCCCATCGCCAACGACTTCCACTGGGGTCTCTATATCCACACTGACCCCTCCAGTGGCTTCAAGTACCATGTGAAGAACCCGAGCACCGACGGCAAGGGATGGCTTGCGGACCACGGCAGAACTTCAGGTCTCTTGAAGTCTAACCTTCTTTGTGTTACCATTCAGATCGCACGCGTGCCTGGCGATAAAGTCGCTCAAGTCGATCCCATCATGAGGTTCTATGATGGAAACCTGAACGCGATGCCTGGTATCACTTGCCGCATTTGGGCGCTTGCAATTCTGCAGAAGCTCATGGACCAGGGCATTGTCAAATGCAGCAGTGTCAAGGACCTGGAGGCGGAGTGTTTGTCAGTGGGGAACCATTACATGGTTGATGCTGCAAACTCTCGCCAGCCACGCCCAATTGTGAAGTCGCGCGTGTGTCTTTGAAGTGTGGCCATTGCGGGCTCTTCTCGGGGGAGTACGCAATACAGAGCTTTACCACGCTGGAAGACACTTCTCGGTGATCTTAATTTGGCTGCTGTGCGTTTTCATTTGATTTTCATACTAGGTATTGGCTGTGATTAATTTTTTGCTCGTCGAAAAGTACGTAGCACTAGCTCAATACAAAAATTTCTCCTTGAGAGCCTCCTCGATCAAGTATGCAGACATGATACGGCAGCCACAGTAATCTGCAGGAATGAAGATCGAATATGCAAATCAAGAATGTACCGGAAGGCAAGCTGATGAACAGCCGCCCCGGAAACTTAGCACCTATTGTCCTAGAGGAAGGCATAAGAGTCCACCGTCAAGTTGTTTAGAGCACGATCATAATCCAGTTCCTCAAGATACTCAGAGCCTCCAATCCAAGACACTGCTCGGAACCACCAGGAATTCCTCCCGAATCGCATAGCTGTGGTGAACTCCCAGTATTCTGGATACCAACCCGCAGACTCCCAGTCGAGAAACCCAGTTAGGTGACCATCGTCACCGACAAGGATATTATGGGCTTTTAAGTCACCTTGGCTGAAAACCATTCTATACTTTCGTTGATCTAATTTCTTTGCCGTTGCCAGGGTTTTCTCAAACTCGGCTTGTGATTTGAAAGCATGATTTGAAGCCGTGGATAGCAGAAAGTCATGCAACTGTGTCTGATCTGTGAATGGTCCCATGATATGATGGGGAACGCGTTGACTTCGTAGACAAGTTCCGATCGCTGATGAGACCCAATTTTGGCGTGAGGAAGGGGGCGTCCACAAGCGCATGGTCTGCACGCACGTCTTCAGCTCCTGTAGCCACGGCTCCTCGCTCTCCGGATCATATTCTGTATCCTCCCAGTTATTCAAGTCGATTCCTGGGAGTCGAGTCATCAGGATCGAGACTCTTCGGTTGCAATCTGGAAAAGGATGTTCGCCATAATTCAGAACTTTTGGCACAGGCAATCCACCGGCTCTTGCCATCTGTGTAGCGACCGCTTCCTCGACGCTGCTGCGGTCTGTCCATTTGATCACGAGTCCGAATGGTAGTGGAATGATATTGTAGTCGAAATGGATTCCGAACCACGAGCAGTACCACTGGGAGAAGTAGCGTAGCGCTCTGTGCACGAGACCCCATGCTAGCCTGATGGGTTTCCAGGAAACACGAGGTACTGGAGGTGTGGTTGGGGAGACGGTGAAAGGAGCCCGACAAGGCCACGTATAGTCAGGACGTAATATCGATGGCAAGAATGATGTCGCCATGATTGTTCGTTGGTGAAGTGTTGTCGAAGGTAAGTAAGATAGTTGTTGTTGTCTTTGTAGATCGGGTGGAATCTATGGTGATCCGCCAGGCCCACCTTCCGTTCTGCCGCCGTTGACCGTCTCGGTTTAGCCTCAGCTATACTTCAGTCTTGGTCGTCAACTCTCCACGCTCTTTACTCGCTCACTGTTTACTGTATGCCTCAGACCCTGGACTAACTTTTCCAAGTCACAAAGCTTCAACAGACAAAGCAAGCTGTGTTCGGTCAATCCTGATGATTATTCACGGCTGGAGGATATGCTCTTCCCTACGTGTCGAGAAATTTCACCATTTATCTCTGATGCGGCATCGCACATAATTCGTTCTATACAAAAGAGTCTCTCTGGTCCTCGAAGATCTTTGTCTGAAATTCATATCATGGTTCTTGGATTTGCACGTACAAAGACTGATTGTTGGGAAATGGGAGTACTCAAGTCCATACCCTTGGATGATCTACCAGCATAGGCCTTTCGAGTCAGCTCCCTCCACCCTATAGATGGAACGTCGAACTAATGCTTGGTACCTCACAGGCGACTACCATGGATCCCAATCCGCTACCGCTACTGAGCGCACTTTCCTCGACTGCGCTTCCGGGCTACTGCTCGAGGCAGTCACCGACGACTACCTAGTACCTAGTATCATTGTTGCGACCCTAAGAGACGTGCCTGGCAATTTGTCCGCTACAAGTCGGTGCTCTTCACTATCACTTTCATACCCGAGATACCTCTTATTTTTAGCTGTTATACCAAAGATATCATTACCTAATTCAGCTTTCCTCTTGATCTGCGCGATGTCTGGTCCCTCGAACCATGCTTTTCGGTAAGTAAACCACCCACAAAGTTTCCCACCGACGGAGCTTCAGTTCGACTAACCAGCTTTACAAAGCCCCAGAAGTTCTACAAAGACCTGGATACAACGGATGACTGCCCTCTCACCTCGTGTGCGTGTCTCGACTGGAGACCCCTCTTACTACAGCCGCGATCGCCTTAGCAGCCTTCCTATAGAACTATTATATATGATAGCCGACTTCCTGCTACCACAAGATGAAGCATCCCTTTCGATATGCAGCCATTATCTATATAATATCTTCGGATGTTTCCCTTTCCCTTGCCGACAGAATGCCTCAAGAAACATATTTCTCCAAAGAATGGCTCGAGACCTTCCCGAGTACGTCTACTGCACTTCCTGCTACTGTCTACACTCAAAGAACACTCTGGGTCCACCGGGACCTCTTAACCAGCCTTCGATCCTTTGGAATAAGCACGGTATACTTGATTACGATCATTCCTGGGCCCTTAGAAGAACCACTGTGGCCTTTTCTGCCGCATATCGTTTCAGGGGCATTCACCTTCACTTGGCGCTGAAGAGGTATCATTGCGGGCCTGCGCATGGGGTGTCTACGAAATGGCTATCCTACATCCAGGTCAATCGGGACCCGGCGTCGCCTGGAACAAAATTGTTCTCGGCTGACGTGCAAATACTTCCAAAACTGCACCGCGTGTGCCTTCGCATACAAACCTGGTTCTTGGCCAATCCCAATAACTTGTATTACATGTGGACTATTCCATTTCCACTTTGTGACCATCTGTTCGTCCCTGACTTCGATGACATCAGGTACTGTATGCAGGACAGTCGCCAGTCTGGTTGCCTTCCGGACAAGTACCCTCATCCGGAGTTTTACCGCTGTCCTCACTGTAAGATGAAGTTCGAGATACGCCTGGTCTCTTGCGGCAACGACGGTGATGCTTTCGTTATTACCAGGTATCTAAATCTGGGCTCGGGTGGCGTCCACCAGGAATATAAATGGCAACGACATGTCGGTGGTTCTGTTCTCTCGACTTACGACAACCTCACGCTTCAGCCCCAGGGCTGGGGCGAAATGATCTTGGAGCATGAGAGTAGTAACGGACTTTCCTATCAAGATCTGACCCACCGAAACGGTCGTCTTTTATACCAGAGAGCATATGAGCGAGAGATGGATCAACTGTTGGAAGGAGAGTGGGTACTACAGCAAGACGAACGACTACCGCAGGATCTGAGAGCGGCACTACCGATCCGTCGCCGTTAACTACACCGTGTTTCCCAGAATCGGCATTTAGACGGCTGTCTCTGCAATACTTGTTACTTCCTTCTTTCCTTCTTTCATCTTCTTCTCTTTGCTTTTTGCTTGCCTGTTTCGAAAAACCAGCAATGATGCAATGTTCAGATCCGTTTCGTCTTGAGGCTCATTGCCTTCTCCGAGAACAACACATTCTTAGCTTTAACTGCACAGTACACCTTGCACCCACTTCAACTTAGATAGATCTTCTGGTGTTGTGAGCCGAGCAGTGGATCCCTAATTAGCTAATGGAAGAACGCAATCAGCATTTACCTGTGCCATCCAGCTTTATTATGCGCAAAATCCTGTTACCTCCGGCAGAATGAAAGCCTCTACGGAGGCTTGCTAGCGCGCCCAAAAGCGACTACCACATAAATAACCAGAGCGTCAACTCTGGAGTATACAGCCTATTATGTACTGTACCTATCGTTCTTCCACAATACTACAAAAAGTTCGGCGCGGGCATCGGCGCAAAGGTTCAACCTTTATGGGGAATTTCGGCGCCCGGAGGTTTTAGCTCACACCGGTTGAACCCCTAAACGTCCGGGGGCGGACTCGGAGGGTTTATGGTTCAACCTTCGGCGGGTTTGGGCTTTTTTAGTTACCGGGTTCAACTTACCCGCTCGGGGTTTCCAAACCGAGGAAGTTGGTCCCCGGAGACTATTTACATACTACGACGTGATTTCATTGGTAATTTGCTTATGGCTATTGTTGGGGCATTGGTGGGAGGGTATTGATTTGCTGATAATTTTGTGAATGGGTGGCGAAGTGTTAAAACTCTCGGATTATTCATTGCAGTAGAGAAAGTGTTCATGTTTCATGGCTCGTAGCGCGTCATAAATTAGTGTCTATACATAATGGCCAGAGTCTCGGATAACCAGCGGGTGGGCTCACTGGCTCGGTAAACAATGCGAGGTCGCGCTCTGTGGAGGCATCGCGAATGGCGAAAGTGGGCATGCATTCCCACTTAGCACGGACGCGAGGCGATACCCCATGGTCGACCCGATGCACTCCAGTCCCTTTCGACACAGAGAGACCTGCTCTGCTGTGGAGAAGGGCGAGTTGGCCACCAGCCACATTGGCCATAGTAATGTCGAGCTATTACCCAGCTTGCTATGCGGGTGGAGTTGGAACGCGCCTGTGGCTTCGTTGATTTGGCCGAGGATTGTGGTTACGGTCAAACAGATCAGATCCGTCAGGTCCTCAATTCGATCTTCGAAGTCGATTTCGTAGAGCGATGTGGGATTATGTGGGCCTTCATCGGATGAGTCGTCGTCGCTACCGTACGGGTCGTGTCGGGGAGGGTGTGGTGAGGCTTCAGGCGTTGTTGTGTCTTCCAGATCGTCGAGCGCGTCGCAGCATGCTATTACTTGGAGGTAGAAGAAGATTTGGGTGGCTTGTACGACGGCGAGGAAGCAGGTCGTCCAGGGGTCGCGAGGAGTTTGTGGCTTCTCGGGAGGACTGTTCTCGAGAGTCGTGTCGAGGTATTGGCGTTTCCAATGACCGGGAATCCGTTCGTTCCAGGTGTCGATCTCGTCGAGGATGCAGCGGGCGCGCCACAGAATTGAGCGGAGTGATTTGGCGGGTTTCGAGCTGTGACCCACGGTTTCTCGGGTTCGTTGGACAGAGTTACAGAACTCGGATATCTTTCCCGTGATGATTCCCGAACGATAGATGAAGTCCGGCTCGTAGATCATATTGATCGACGAAGGCAGAGAGGCATACTGGTATTGGTTGTTGGCTATGGCTTGAATTTGCTGCTGGCCTGTTAACCTTGTGATTTTGGTCGGGCTGGGTGAGTTGACCTACGGTCTGAGTGAAAGCCCAGCCAAAGAGGACTCGGCCATATTTGCTACTCCGAGGTGGCCTCCCTCGCAGCTGCATGAGGGAGTAGATTCCTGGGATGTGAGGGTTTGCGACGTCGCTGTGATCACCGCTTATGTCCTGTATTGGGTAAGCGAAGTCTTTCTCGTGGGAGGACTGACCTGGTTCACTTACAAGAAACATACTCAAGAAAAGTGCCGCTGCGAATACTTCATCCTTCAAATAAGCCCCTTCAATGCTGAGTGCAGTGCTCAGTGAGTTTAAAGCCAGTCCATAGTGCCGTCGAGCATTGGCATGCAGCTCTCCACGTCTGGAGACATTGTGCAAGGAAAGATAGGACACGCTAAGCACGGCATGCTTCAAGCAAGGGTCATCACCTTTCTCACGGAACAAGTCCGGAAGAAATGCAAGGTGACCCTCACAAGGAGACCTTTGGGCGTGAAGGACATACTGATCATAGAAGTACCCGAGGGACTGGGACTCCCAGCAAGGAGCAAGGGTGGGTACCAAAGGACCCAACCCTTCGGAGATTAGGTTGGTGGAGCATACTGATAGCTCCGAACCCTCAGGGTCTAAGTCCCCGGAATCAGCAGGAACCTTCGCATCATCTGTCAAGGTCTTGTGTGTTGAGCCGGGCTTATAGGTTCGAAATGCGAAGGCATCGGGATAGCCTGTGCATTGCCTGTTATGTGTCACGCAACGACGACAAACCGGTCTCTCCCCATCGCACTACAGAAGAGAATTATTAAGACCACACAGACATCCAACTTCTGAAAGTGACCAACATACCTTGACCTTTCGCTTACGGCATACATAGCAGCCAGTACTCAGTCTCCCAGGAAACACCATGGACGCATGTGTCAGGCAGGCAGTGCGTGGAAGTATAGGACGTTAGGCAAATGTGAATAGATCCGACAAGGTCGGAGGTTCACAGGTGAGAATGATTGCGATTGCAGTAATTGTCAATTCGGTCAGGAAACAGGTGATGGTGAGGTTGAGATGGAAAACTCGGGGGCGAGCCAGGCCCGACGGCGGCCATTACCAAGAGGGGTCACAGTCGGCAGACAGTTTCGGGTCCACAGCAAACGCCCTGCTAACTCCACCCGGTATCGGCTTTCTCCACCGAAACTGGTAGGGGGTCTCGCAAGCTACCCCCGAAATCGGACTAGGGTCTTGGCGCGCTCGTCTCCGCCGTTCATGGAATGGGCCATTCAGGATATGCGCATCCATCAGATATCGGGAAACATGTTGGAGGCGAGCATTGAGGTTCCACGTAATCAGTAGGCCAAGAAGAAAATGCTTTAATCCTCATCATGTGGCGAGGGGAGGAAATAGTGCACTTGTTGTTTGGTAGAATTTATACATCAAATTTTGGTGTCGAAAGTATAAACAAAAACTACACCATGCCAGAACAACATTCTCGCTTAGCGAAGGCCGAGGGAATTGCTTGCTTTATGTTTACTTCATTGGAGTGTCAGGTGACCTTCCATCTTGACATGCTGACCGATGAGGCAAGAGCAGAGCAATACCGGACCTCGTCACCGCATCAAAGTCTGTGATATGCGCCACGTCAACAAGACCAAAGAAGCCTACACAGAATGCTGCTGAATAAGTACAGCTCCTCTTGATCTACAATTTGAAGCGTTCAGAAATATTACTCAGAACCCCAGGAATTCCCCGGCACCTGTGAGAGCGGCAACTGCGAATTCATGAATACCGGCTCCATGAATGGCGACCGGCTCTAAACCCCAGGACCAGGGAACGATGACATTTGGTTTCCAGATGGCCTCATGCACTCATGATGAACAATCCTTCTAGAACAGGGCGGTGATTCACTGACCTGATGTCACCCCGTCAGCTCACAGCCACGAAACCTGTCCGATTTGGTGAAATGGGCTGCCGATTCATGCCTCTGAGTCTACGATTCTCCAAAAAACAGCCGATCTGGAGGATGAGGACCTTTCATATGCACTCCGGAAACCCTTGACTTTGCGTCATGCCGAGAGTATTGTTAAAGATTCCGACCAAACAATAGGCGCTGCAATGACCTGGACGGTCCACAGTCCACGGTCGCACTCCGGGCTTCCGCATTAGGAATTCCGGCAAATGTTCCATCAATTCAAGGTCCCAAGTCCGAGATCGCTGATTGGATCTACAACTTCTTGCGCCTTATCAGCAACCGAAGCCGAGTGACTCCAATCTTCACAGACTCATTTTTTCATGACTTGATGTGGTTCGTGCACCTTTTAACGCAACATGCACACAGAGTTAGCAAGTTGTATCAATCACATGCGCTATGTCCTACAAAGAGGCCATATCTCGTCGGCGCCAAAGCAAGCTCGTGGGAAACAGCCAGAGATCTTACTAAGCTTGAGGTAAGAACTGGGACAGCTCAACCGTTCTTGATTGACTATCCAAGATGCGGGACCGGGGAGATCGATGGATCGGAAAGCGGGCGTGCATCATCTCCACTGCTGCCGTTTCTGACCCCCGGGTTCTATGACGTCGCACCTCCGCTGGCGAATCCATCTCACATCTACTTCCACTTTAGGTCATCAGCATGAGTGGAATGAAAAAAACTGCTTATAAGACCACATCGGTTCCTCTTCGTGATACAACACCTCGACTTCGTTCCATCATAATACCGTTCGTCTTCATTTCGTCTGATAAATGGGGCACCCAATGTCATCTACACACTACACGTCTACTGAGGCCTACCATCTACCCTTACAATTCAGTCGAAGAAGCCTGGTCGACTCTGAAGAATATTCTACACTGACTGTGCACCGTTGCCATGACCTCGAGGAACCAGTCGCCGCGCTCCCCCCTATTTGACCCTGAGAAGTCGGAAAAGAAGGATTCTGGTCTTGGAGACTGCGACTTGAGCCCTGCCCGAAGGCCCACTAACATCCATGATGAGCATGCAGCATCCTCGGATACCGATACCGAAGTGCGAGGCAAATTCCGTGGCGATGGGAAGCGCGAATTGACTGAAGAGGATGCATACGAGAAACTTGGCTTCTGCTTCCCATGGTACAAGAAATGGGGGATTTTGACAGTTATCTTCGTTGTTCAAATGTCCATGAACTTCAACAGCAGTACATATTCCAATGCCGTGGTGCAGTTGTCGGAACATTTCCATATCAGCCAGCAAGCGGCTCGAGTCGGTCAGATGATCTTCCTGGTACCTACGCCTTTGGCTGCGAGCTATGGGCGCCATGGAGCGAGGAATTCGGTCGATGGCCTATTATGCAACTGAGCCTTCTTCTCGTGAATGTCTGGCAAATTCCCTGTGCCTTGGCACCTAACTTTGGAACCATGGTGGTTGGTCGCGGCCTTGGTGGGATTAGCTCCGCAGGAGGCTCGGTCACCCTGGGTATGACCGCTGACATGTGGGAGCCAGATGACCAGGGCTTTGCTGTCGCATATGTGGTCTTGAGCTCTGTCGGTGGGACGACTATTGGGCCTATATTCGGAGGAATGATGGAGCAGTGGTTGAACTGGCGATGGAATTTCTGGATCCAGCTTATTTTCGGTGGAGTCACCCAAATACTCCATTGCTTTTTCGTCACCGAAACAAGATCTACCATCTTGCTGGATCGAGAGGCGAAGCGTCGGCGCAAATCTGGTGAGGATCCAAATGTCTATGGCCCGAGTGAGCTCAAGCCTTCCCGGTTTGACGTGAAAGAAATCCTTTGCATTTGGCGTCGCCCATTCGAGATGTTCCTGCGCGAGCCCATTGTGCTTTTTCTATCTCTTCTTTCTGGCTTCTCCGATGCGCTAATCTTTACCTGCATCGAATCGTTCTCCTTGGTCTTCAAACAATGGGGCTTTAATCCACTGCATGTTGGATTGTGCTTTGTCGCTATTTTTGTTGGCTATCTGGTTGCATATGCCATTTTCCTGCCCGATATCTACCGCCAGCGCTTGATCCGACGACGAGATGGTGATGCGGCCCGGGTGGCTGAGCGCCGGCTCTTACTTTTGCTTTTCATCGCACCCCTGGAGACGATCGGACTCTTTGGCTTTGCCTGGACGTCCATGGGCCCGGAGTATACCCACTGGATGGTGCCTCTGGTCTTCGTATTCCTGATTGCCATCGCAAACTATGGTATCTACATGGCTACGATAGACTACATGGTGGCGGCTTATGGCGAGTATTCCGCGTCCGCCACGGGCGGGAATGGGTTCGCACGAGATCTTCTCGCCGGGCTATCCGCGATGTACGCAACCCCGATGTATGCCAACATTGGCGGACGCTTTCATCTCCAATGGGCTAGCACTATTCTTGGCTGCTTGGCTGTCTTGGTGACCATTCCGATTTACATCTTTTACTGGAAAGGCCCTGAGATACGGGCGAGGAGCAAGTTCGCACAGACCCTTGCCGCGGACAGGCAAAGACACACCACTAGACGTCGGAGCAGCCAATTCAGTGCGTCGAGGAAAGCTTCTATGGTGTAGAAGCATGTTGAAATCTTCGATTCGAATGTACTCTTTCCAACTTGTTTATAATATCTTGATGTCAATCTTAATCAATCCCATTTATAGAACTTCGTTCTCGACTTGAAATCACACAAGGTACTACAATATGGAAATCTCACTTGAGCTTCGTTAGCTGGAGATTGTCTAGCTGCTGCAGTGTGATTGTTTTTTTTAGCTCACTCGTTGGTTGGGAGAATTGATAGGTCTGCGGGCGGTGTGGCCTGAGGCATGGAGAGCCTGACTGAGACTAAACACCAAACCCCTGTTCAAATGTCTTACTTGTGCATTCCCCGCTCCTTCTTCACTTCTCAACTTTCTTCTTCTATTCCAGCTCATTCTTGGCGCTGCCTTCTCTTGCTGTAACTCAATGGTCCATCATCTGTTTTTGTTTTCTACATGCAACATACAACTATTTGGGACATACTCATGGACAAGGCGAGCAAGTCTTTGATTACATCCCATAGCATGATGTACCGGAATGCAACGCTGCACGCTGCACGCTGCACTTAGTCGATAATACCTACTTGTGATCTGCTTGAGAGACATGCAGTAGCTTAGATGCATGCCCCCCGCCCCCGCACTGACCTTCAGTTTGATGGCATGACAAGCGGAGAGTGATAATTCTTCGTCAGGTACATCGCTTCCTTTGGCTTGACTCCCCCTCGCTATAGGCCTGCCGTGAACTAAGCTTTTCCTTTCACAGAGAACGAATTTTGAACGCGTATTGCGACATGTGAACTAAATAACAAGGGCTGGAAAAGATACTTGGGGCGTGCTTATGACGACGACTGATTGCTTTGACTGTCTCACCTCATCCCCGGGAGGAAGACCTGCATGTCAGACAATATGAGCTCATATGCCGATCATCCGCGGAACAAGAGTCACACAAGGCTCTGGGCTTAGGCAGTCATCCTGACGAACGGCACGTGTGACTTATTCTTGATCCTCTGCCTTGATGTCCCGTCCATGCACCTTGCCGAGTCTTGAATTATCCCAGAGCTTATCGAGCAGTTGATAGTAATGAAGTGTTCTCAACCATGGTTCGCAAACTCATGCTGACTATCTCGAAAAGCTTTCCGCCGTAATACTTATGTAACGGGTGAATCGGGCGCCTGATGCAGGAACCAGAAAAGAACAATCCCATACAAAAACTTGAATCTATTCAATCACAACTAGACCCTTGTGAGACACAATACGAGCGATCCGCGGAATCCGACCAACGAGACGCCTGGAAGTATCGGCGTGTCACTCTAACTGCAAGCATCCATGTACTGTCTTGCAGGATGTCAGCTTCGCTTGGGAAGCGGTGGCCGAGACCCGACATCATCGCCATTTGCAGTCCCTGCAACAACCCGACTGCCTTCCGAGTGTGCCATAGGAAATCTATCCTGGTCAACGAGAAGGTACACCTACCGGCAGGGGTTCAGTCAGGCAGCCAATGAAGACAGAAGCTACCTCGGGCATCCTTTAGCTATTGGACACCACATCCTTCAGTTCATCAGATGAGCCCCGGAATATGAGACCTGCATTAATTGCGGCTGTTGTATGTGGGGAGACGCTCATCGTCCTCGGTCCAGGTATCTGCGCCAAATGCAAGAATCCCTTCTTCTGTTGATGCCAGAGGGACCTTGTGACCTGCGGTTGAGTTCAACAGGAATCAGCGCTTCAGCATATAAAAGGAAGCGTATTCTGCCTTCAACAGGTGGATAGGAACAAGCACCAAGCCCGACAGATCAAGCATCTGAGCAACAACCTTTCAATCATCAGCCATGCACCTCTCCTACCTTTCTTTTCTCACCTTAGCTGCTCCTTTGGTAGCAGCCATTGCTCCTCCTGCTGCATCTCCGGCACCGACCACGCTCATCACCGCCTCCAAAGTTAACAGCGCCGCCGCAGCCGCAGCCCCCAGCCCTACTCAGCCAGGCATCGCCGCAAATTGCAACGCGTACCATCTGGTGGCGAGTGGTGAGACCTGCACCAGTATCGCGACGACAGCCGGCATCTCCCTGACCGACTTTTACTCGTGGAACTCCGGCGTCGGCAGCGGGTGTACCGCCCTGTGGTTGGGGTACTATGTCTGCGTCGGGGTGGGATCAACGGCGACCACCACCACCACCACCACAAGTACCACCACGACCGCTCCGGTGTCGACTCCTACCCCCATCCAGACGGGCATGGTGACCAACTGCAATAACTTTTACCTGGTGTCGTCTGGCGATACGTGCACCACTGTTGCGACAAAGGAGGGGATCACTGTGCAGAACATTGTGACCTGGAATCCGGCCGTGGGGACGGGATGCACTAATATGTGGTATGGATACTATATCTGTGTTGGGGTTTCGGGATGAGCTGAGCACGAGGGGATATCCTAGTGGCTGTGAAGCGAGAGTTTTGGATGGGAGTTGAAATGCTTTAACTATGATGGGGCTGTTGCATGATGAGTATGTCTGATGTTGCACAAGGAATTGGTGGATGTCATTATTCCATGATCGAGTTCGGCCAAATAGGGTAATATGATTTTAATTCATGCTGATTAGCAGACATTGAAGTACTATACAACCCTAGGCATGATCCCGTCCAAGGCCTTTGAGCGTCCTCAGTCTTATCAGCGGAGTTTATACCATGTCTATCTCTAACTTACCATGTCGGACCTAAAGGAAGCGCCACCTGCAGTATCGGCCCGACGGGAGCAGCAGGACGGATAGTGGCGGAAGGAGTCAGCGGGCACAGGCTGCAGTAGGCAGTTTCTGGTTTCTGGGTGATTTCTGGGGCAGGTGTCGATCTCGGCCCCGGTTCCGCTTCCGTTGAGAGCGGGGTCGCGGTGTTTCATTCCGAATTCCCGCCCCAGCCAATTCACGCTCGTGCATTTGTTCATTTCAACCAGGGTGAAAGTGCGGGGAATCACCTTACTAACTACGCCAGCCGACTCTCTATTTGCTGCAGCAATGGATAACGAATGCAGTTGGCCCGAGTCCTCTTTGTTGGCCGGGTGGCCCATGACGCAAATCCACTACGATTTTCAAGGTCTAGCTGCATGAGGACCGCTGCATAGCCAGCTCTGAGCCATGATAAGCCGAGGAGAACCGCGGAGGTGAGGTGTATAAAGCTCCAGATTTCTTTCAGACACCACCGTCAAGAAAAAAAGTCAAGTCCACTCCCAATTTTATCGCTCACACCATGTCCTTCCAAACCCTCGCCCTCGCCGCCGTCGCGGTGGTATATTTTCTGATCCGCTATCTCAACCGCACCGACGTTCCCAAGATCAAGGGGATACCTGAAATCCCTGGGGTGCCTATATTTGGGAACCTGTTGCAATTAGGCGACCAGCATGCTACTGTGACGAAGAAGTGGGCGAAGAAATATGGCCCAGTGTTCCAGGTTCGGATGGGAAATCGGGTATGTGACCCGCAACGAACAAAAGGCTGACAAGCGAGTCGAAATATAACTGACGGAGCATACTTGTTCCTTCCAGCGCATTGTCTTCGCCAACAGCTTCGAGTCCGTCCGCCAACTGTGGATCAAAGACCAGTCGGCCCTGATTTCGCGCCCGACCTTCCACACCTTCCACAGCGTCGTGTCCAGCTCCCAGGGCTTCACGATCGGCACCTCGCCCTGGGACGAGTCCTGCAAGCGCCGACGCAAGGCGGCCGCCACCGCGCTGAACCGCCCCGCCGTGCAGTCGTACATGCCAATCATCGACCTCGAGGCCACCGCCAGCATCCGCGAGCTGTTCCAGGACAGCGACAGCGGCACCAAGGACATCAACCCGGTGGCGTATTTCCAGCGGTTTGCGCTCAACACCAGTCTGACGCTGAACTACGGCTTCCGTATCAGCGGCAACGTCGACGATGAGCTGCTGCACGAGATCTGCGACGTCGAGCGCGGCGTCTCCAACTTTCGGAGTACCAGCAACAATTGGCAGGACTACATCCCCCTCATGCGTCTGTTCCCCAAGGCGAACACCGAGGCCGAGTCGTTCCGCGTGCGCCGCGATAAGTATTTGACGTATCTGTTGGATATTCTCAAGGACCAGATTGCCAAGGGCACGGATAAGCCGTGCATCACGGGAAACATTCTCAAGGATCCCGAGGCGAAATTGAATGAGGGTGAGTCATGATCGATGGACTTTCCAAAGACAAATCATGTCGAACGAAAATACTGACAGTCACCAGCGGAGGTCAAGTCCATCTGTCTCACTATGGTCTCCGCCGGATTGGACACAGTTCCCGGCAACGTCATCATGGGCATCGCCTATCTCGCCTCGGAAGACGGCCAGCGCGTTCAGCAGAAGGCCTACGAGGAGATCATGAAGGTGTACCCGGACGGTGACGCCTGGGAGAAGTGCCTCGTGGAAGAGAAAGTCCCCTACGTGACCGCCCTGGTGAAAGAGACCCTCCGGTTCTGGACCGTGATTCCCATCTGTCTGCCGCGCGAAAGCACCAAGGATATTGTCTACAACGGCGCGACCATCCCCGCTGGAACCACCTTCTTCATGGTATGTTGATCTCCGACATTGTTTCCCGGTTTAAGATAAAATTCTTACTAACCCCATCTCCAGAACGCATACGCCGCAGACTACGACGAGGAGCACTTCGACAAGCCCGAGCAATTCCTGCCGGAGCGGTATCTGGAGGTGGGCGAGGGCACGGGCACTCCCCACTACGGCTACGGGGCTGGCTCGCGCATGTGCGCGGGCTCGCATCTGGCCAACCGCGAGCTGTACACCGCCTACATTCGCTTGATCACCGCCTTCACCATGCACCCGGCCAAGAACCCCGACGACCGCCCGATCATGGATGCCATTCACTGCAATGCCATCCCCACGGCGTTGACAACGGAGCCCAAACCGTTCAAGGTGGGATTCCGACCGAGGAATCCGGAGAAGTTGAAGCAGTGGATTCGGGAGAGTGATGAGCGGACTAAGCATTTGTGAACCATTTGTGAATGTAAAGTATTTTTGAATTCAGAGTTGTATAGTTGGGAGATCACTATATGCATAAATAGTATATACCTAGTTTGCAGGTAGCAATTCCTTAAAATTTACACGTAGATGATGAGTGCATGAATACTTTCCAGGTTGCCAGTTGGGTATTCACCAAGCAGGGCAACAGATTATTATGGTAGTATATCTCCGACTTATCAATTAATGATTGAATTATGCATAGACTAAAGTGTGGTGCACGAGGTGCAGGTGGTCGAGATAAGCACCACTGGCGCCAGTTCGGCCGAGATATGGTTACGTTACTAGTAGCCTCGGGTGCGGAATCCCCCGCACGGGGTCTTCCGTCCTTTCTGACCGCCACCGCGTTTGTCTTCCAAGTTTCCCCGCGCTGCGCCCGGTCGGAGCACTACCTAGCATCGTCTGTTTACCGTCCCGTCTACTCTCCTCCGTCTTCTCCGCACTCGACTTCTCGCGCGCAGTCACTTCCACACCCCCATCATGGACGCTACTACCTCTCTAACAACATGGGACTTCTCGCCCCCAGCAGCACACCGGGATGACTCTGACGGGGTCAATCCACGCAAGCGACGGCGAAAGTACATCGCCAAGGCTTGGTAGGTGCATTGCCCTTCCTTCTTCCGCGCCTCCCTTCGTTCCGTTCCCTGAGGTACACTAGGTTGGGTCAAGGATCAAGACTAACATACAAACAAGCAACGAATGCAAACGTCGTAAGATCAAATGCAATGGCGAGACGCCTTGTCAGCGGTGCGGCCGCCAACGCATCGACTGTATCTACGACAAGCCCCCTCGTCACACCGATGGCGAGTCGGATCAGCAGTACGTTTTCGCGCCTACACACCCACCCACACCCACACCCACACGCCCTGCACGTGTTGGTGGAAGTCCCACCCATGCTAATAGACGCCCAGGGTCTACCTCGAGCAACTCTGTAAACAGATGTCTGCTATGCAGGAACAAATCAAGACCCTCTCCGCAGCTGTCACGACCTTGACGCAGCACAGCGTCACTGCCACCGCGATCGCGGCGCGGTCGGACGCCGCGGCGGTGGGGCACGGGGCAGCGGGCAGCCAGCGACCATTCCGTCGCCGCCGGTCCACGATCAGGGAGACCGCGTTCCAAGGCCCAACGACATCCGCCTTTAGCTTGCATTTGGCCAAGTCGAATCTCCTCCGCCAGGGGATCGTCGAGCAGACGGACGGGGCGGAGGATGCCGAGGCCGATGCCGATGCTAACCATCCGCCTTCGCCGCTGCCGCCGGATTCGCCTGGGCCGGCGACGTTGCTGGATGCGGCGCGGCCCGAGGGGGATCCGCTGTGGTCGTTGGACAAGGCGGAGGCGATACGGCTATGTCGCGTGTATGAGGAGGAGATGGGCATGATGTATCCCGTCTTGGATTTGCAGGACTTGCTGGATCAGGTCGAGGTCGTGTATGGGTCGTCGTCGGCGGCGGCGGTGGCGGCGCGTCCCGAGGGGTCTCGGGCGGTACCTCACGCCGATGACGTCCAGATCCTGCGGTTGGTCTTTGCGTGTGCGTTGACGGCTGAGGCGGCGGGGAGCAGCGAGCTGGCGATGCGGCTGTTTGAAAGTGTGCGCGAGGTGGCTGATAATTGCGTGTGGGGACCGTCGGAGATTAAGAGTATTATCTTGTTGACTCTGGTTGTGAGTGAGTTCTATGTTGGGGGGTGGTGTATGGATGGCTGACAAGCGCTCTAGGCGATCTTCTATTTCCAGATCGACGAGGAAATTCTGGCTTGGCGCATCGCTGGCATCGTGGAGCGCATGTGCCTGGAAAAGGGGCTGCACCGACGGGAAACACTTGGCCAGCCGGCCATTGTCGCCGAGGGGCGGGATCGTGTTCTCCGGCTGTTCTGGTCGATTTATGTTCTCGACATACGGTGGAGTTTTGGGACGGGCATGCCGTTCTCTCTCGAGGATAGCGACATCGATCCCTGGCTACCGGAGCCGGAGGAGAAGACTCCCTACCTCCGGGTCATGATCCGGTACAGTCGCATTGCGGCCAAGGTGTGGAAGTTCATCTCAGCCTTCAACAATACGAACGAGATCAAGAAGGATGAGATGAATTATCTGGACTGGCAGGTCCAGCAGTGGGTGATGAACATCCCGGAGATCCTGCGTCTGGAGCAGCCGCCGTTGTCGGCCTCGAAGACCGAGCCTAAACCACCGCGCAGTCTGCATCGCCTGCGTGCGTTGCTTTACCTTCGCTCCAACCAGCTCCGCATGCTCATCCATCGGCCCGTGCTTCACTCTGCCGCGCATATCGTGCGGTACCCGGCTGAGTCGCAGATGGTCGTCGACCTGGCCAGGGAGACAATCCGGTTCATCACGCGACTCAACGAGACGACGGATATCTACCGT